ACACACACACACACACACACACACACACACACACACACACACACACACACACACACACACACACACACACACACACACACACACACACACACACACACAGATAGGACTTGTCACATCCTGAGCCCTGATGCTCAGTGACATGGCACATTAATGGGAAGGCCAATTCAATTTCTCCCTTCCCTCTGTGGCAGCTTACAGTGACAGCCATGCCTCACGATGGTAGCCACCAACTCGGGGCTTTATGTCCCATAAAAAAACGTCTGTGCTGCCCCTTAACTTAGTCCACAGGCGGAGAGGAACAGATTGGATTTCAGAAATGTAATGCAATGGTAGTGTTACACAAGTGCTGCAAGATGATCTAAGTATAGTCTCAACTTCATTCCCCAACCACAAAATCTGATTTTACAAAATGGACACTGTATTATAAAGACAGTTGGATGTTATGTGTGTCTAACATGTATTTATTTGAGCTTTTAAACGAAATAAGTCTAATATAGCGAATGTTTGAAGTTCAGCTTCCGAAATGTGCCAACTTTGAGGGTAAATATTCATAGTAGAAGTGAGTATATTGCTATACATTTGAGAATTGGTTTATAGATTAGGTTATTTTTATTAGAGTTTGTTTGTGGGTTATTCAGTGTGACTCAGAGCATCATAATGAACGGTTCAGGAGATCAGACCCCTCATCTCTCTCCCATGTTCCCTTTTAGATCATAGCCATGTGCTAACACAGCATGCATTATGGATTCCCACAATATATATTTTCTTCTTTTTATTCGATTTCCAGCCAAAAATAATTAAAAGTAGTAAGTGTAGGGGAAACTTCTGTGTAGCAATGCATTGGGAGTCACCGACTCAGGAAGGAGACACGGTGAGAGTTGGAGCTTTTGATGTCAAACACTGATGGGTTTATTCAGAGTATCGGCCGGAGGATTCACATCACAAGTCAAAGAGTCAGAGGTTCTGACTTCACGGTAGAGTTGCCACGTCAATTCTGAAGAGCCTCTCTCTATGCTAGACCACAGAGAGGTTCACAGAGAGTAATCAACATCTCTGAAGGAGTAGACTAAACAGCTGGGAACACTGAGCCACCTGCGTCCGACACTCATGGCCTCAAAGATTTCACATCTTAGAGTCCACAAACACCGATAAAGAAGTGCCTCAGCGTTCTCACAACAAGTACCCTTCGTGCCAGACAAGTTGACCGGTCACAAACTGGTGACAACAACACATATGGCACCAAGGCCTTTCCTTAAAGGAGATAACAGACGTCAGAGTAGATCATAAAACGTCACAGAGCATAAGGTTAGATATCTAGAAGAATTATTCCTTAACAGTAAGAGTAGATTTTATTTATTTTTTGCAACTTGTGGGCTTTTGACACCCACTCCCATTTAACTGACTTTGAGTGACATGGTCTCTAATCTAAAACTAATGCTGAGAAAATCTGAAAGTCAATAAGACACAGCTCCTTCAGCAACCACTTTTAAAATAGTGGGTTATATATATATATATATAGAGAGAGAGAGAGAGAGAGAGAGAGATAGAGAGAGAGAGAGAGAGAGAGAGAGAGAGAGAGAGAGAGAGATAGAGAGAGATATAGAGAGAGAGAGAGAGAGAGAGAGATAGAGAGAGAGAGAGAGAGAGAGAGAGATCTACCAGATAGATAGATTAGACTAACATTATATATAAGTCTCTATGAGAGAGAGATAGATGTCATTTCAGTTTAACAGAGACTGCCTCACACTGAATCCTGGGGCAGGAAACATTTATTGGAAGCCTCCCAGTTTACCCCCAGGCTCGATTAAATAATCTGTATTCTCTGGACGGTGGCTGGATCTTTAATTGTTACTGACACACGGCAAATGGGAAGGACTTTGTGAAGTTTAAGGGAAATTGCTTAAGTCTTTTTCTTGGTGAGTTAGGGAAACACACATTTGGGGAATCCCCTCTCATGTCCTTACCTTTTTATTTGAAAAGAAAGTTCAGTTTTCCTGTATAATGTCTCAACCATCAAGATGTGTTCAAAATGTGTGAACATGGTTGAAGATGAAGTAATGAAGTAAGGGTTCATTTTGCGCTGCCATGGCTTTTCGTGCTAAATAAACCATGGACAGAGGCAATTAATTAAGACTGAATGAGATGAGATTAAAATTGGTTTACGTAAGAAGGAAGAAGATGCCTTTAATTGTTTTGCAAATGTAATTTAATGATGTGGTTCATTAAAGTAAGTGATACACTAGGATTTTCATGTTGTCATGTAAGAGGCAATGCGGTTCTGTTTGCATGTGTCTTCATTGTGTAGTACATATATAAATCACAATGGAGAACAGTAAGATACTTGGCAATTATTAGGCAAAAGTGTTTAAAAGAGATAGGGAAATGAAAAGAGTGTGAGGAATGTGAATTTAAAGCGGAAAGAGAAGGATTAAAGGAGATGGAGTTTATAGTTGTTTAATTAAAAATAAATTACGTTTCCCTGAAAATAAGGACGTATATCACTCTCTTTCACCAATGCTGCAACTCTTACATAAAAGCCAGTTTTCTCTCCCACTGCTTTATATTATGCAGGATAATCCTACTGTATGGAAACAACATTAATGCTGCCCTACCATGACAGCCAGTGTGTCCTGTAGAAAGGATAATGTGATTTACCGTGACACCAAAGGCACCAGGGTCAAGCCTTCATTTCCCCCTCTAACCCATATGTCACCTTACGGTGTGACACAATGTAATTTCCTGTACAGAGAGCCACCCTATAGTATGTACGTGTCATCGACTGATACAAGCAAGGTCATTGTCATACAGGGTGTGTCCACATTAATCCTGATTGGCTGTACTCACAGGCAGGAATGATTTGGCTCTCTAGAAAAGATTTATTTTATATCTGCTTATATTGGCCATCCAGGGACTTAACGATATACAGATATGTGCCAAATGAAAGTAAAAAAAAAAATAAAGTGTTGAGTTATCACAAGCCATTGACAGAGTGTCCAAGTCTCTAAATTGGTTTTAAAACATTTTTGAATGTATTTCATATTGCCCACTCCTAGGTAAAGGTTGACTGTCATCTAAACTGAATCTGTATGGGTAAAGTTTATCTGACTGATTTCAACAGTAACGTTTTATTTTTGTCATATCTTCTTCGTTGATGTTTTTCTTCAGTCGAGGTTAAAAAAGTATAAACTGACAGCTGTGATAGCTATAACTTCAAAGCAGGAAGGTAAAGGAATGATTACTCTGCTGATTAATATTGCCAAACCACAGGTGGGCTGTAAACAACGACGGCTTTGCTTGACAGGGGGCAATCAATTTCTTTTTCCTTTTACTTCCACTGACAGTAATTGGTACTGCATGACTGTTTGAGCACTGCGTATCAAACCTTAACATTTGAACTCTGCATAGAAGATTTGAGCTGTGTATTGTATCTTTTAGTGCGGTGCTGAACAGACATGGTTCTCCTTTGACCCCTGATTGAAACCTACCACTTATCCAATTGACAGTTTATCCCCCGGAGGGGTGACTCACACTGCTTAACACACACACACATACACTTGGGAGCGAGACAGACCTTACGTAACACTTTAAAGTTGCTCCAACAACAGAGCCACGTTGAGGCACAGCATTGATCACTGTTAAAAAACAGATTTGTGTCCATAAACAGCTCATTTAATCATATTTTTCCTGCTTGTATGTTATATACTTGTGAGTCTGATTCTGATATAAAAAGGAAGTTCACAGCACTAGTTAAGTTTGGATTAGATCAGCGATCAGATTTGACTTATTGTCATTGCATAAAGTACAGAGACAATGAAATGCAGTTAGCTTAGCATCAAATCAGAAATGCAAAACAGCAGTTAAGCGCATCGTATAGTGTGATTTAAGTTAAATAGTATGACATGTATAAAAAAGCCAAAGGGGTTGTCTTGTTGGCTTGTTGTTCTAAAACAGAAACCATGTGTCCATTTCTCCCCTCAGGGTGTTGATGTTATACGTAGCATATATATTTTCTGTTTACATTGGAAGGTGTTGTTGTGTGAAATCGCAATAAATGGCCCCATCTTCCCGGTATAAATAAAGCCTAGCAAAGGGCCGTTGGTGTACAGTGTATGTGAAGCTTCATTCCCCAATTCACACAGTGCCATGCAATTCCACCTCTCAGCAGAAGCTGTACAGTATATCCAGCTGCTGTTTTCACAGGGAATCCAGGCATGAAATGCGTTATGGAGCGGCATAATGAGTTGAGGGAAGTGAACACTCAGGGTGCATGTGATGCAGATAAACATAACGGTGGCGAATATGTGATGGTTTGAATCATATGGGTGAGCAGACATGATGCGCTGCTGCCAGCCAACCTCCATATACTGCTCTTTTTTTTCTATCCACATAGTAACATATTTATCAACTCCAACATAAATAACAAACATCTTCCTTTCTCAGTAACCCGAGTACACAAATGCCCACTGTTCTGTTAAATTATTTACCTATGTATTTTTTACTCAATTTACCAGATCATGGATGAGTTGTCATGAACTCATGAAAACACATAACAATAATATATATTTTCCATTTCAAAGCCTGATAATATGAACTGTATGTTCGGCCCTTCAAAATAAAACATTTAGTCACACCAAAGTTTGTGGATAGGATGTACAATAGCAGTGTCTTCCTCCTCTGAACACAGTAGAGCGTGTGAGCTGTCATGTTTCTTTGACAGCTTCATCACAGTTTTCCTCACATAGCTACAAGTTATAAATGGGTCACAGGATCTTCATGTATGCAGAGCTGTACATCCCAGTATGGCACACATGAAAGCTACAGCTGGTGATTGAGGAAAAGTATTTTGGGTATAAATGAGAAGTGAGTGGTGTGCCTACAGCTGCAAAGTAGGACATACTTCAAAACGTTTCCCGCCACAATTAACAATAGAGATGCTGAATTTTGATTTCATTGATTTGTGCTTCTGTTTCTCCTCACCTCTTTCTCTCTCCATCCTACAGTACAAACAAGTGGAGCAGTACATGTCGTTCCACAAGCTACCAGCAGACTTCCGACAGAAAATCCATGACTACTACGAGCACAGATACCAGGGCAAGATGTTTGACGAAGAGAGCATCCTGGAGGAGCTAAATGAGCCTCTGCGCCAGGTACCAACACAGCAAAGCATAATGTGCTCATTCACCAACAAACACACAGCTTTATCCAACCTTCTCTGCATTGATTTAGTTATAAACCTTTTGTTATTTACTTTCTTAAAGAATGGACTTAATATTTCCATTCACCCAAAAGTTGTTTTTCCTGCTGCCAATATATATTGTTTACTGCAGTAAGCAATTCCCTCGTGCTTCAAGGACACTTCAGGTAACAGAAAATAAAGAGAAAACTCAAATGGAGAAAATTAATGATATCTTACAATCATGTGTTTACCCAGAACATATTGTGAAATCAACAGTTTTATAAGTTGTTCTTCCTGAGATGCCAATGCAAAATACTCCTTAATGCTAAATCATCTATTCTCCACAACAGAACATTGCAATTGATTTTGGTATTCATGCTGTGTAACCTCTAAACATTGCTGCATAGAAAACACATGCATGCCTACCAATCCCTTACCCTGACATTATGATCCACCGCTGTTTCCTCTTTCAATTTAGGAAATCGTCAACTTTAACTGCCGTAAGCTGGTGGCTTCCATGCCGCTGTTTGCCAATGCTGATCCCAACTTTGTGACAGCCATGCTGACCAAGCTGAGGTTTGAGGTCTTCCAGCCTTTGGACTACATCATCAGAGAGGGCACCATCGGCAAGAAGATGTACTTCATCCAGCACGGCGTGGTCAGCGTCCTCACCAAGGGGAGCATCGGCATGAAGCTGATGGACGGATCCTACTTTGGAGGTATGTCACTGACTCCGTCATCTTAGTATCATCAGACGCTGCTCTATTTTCATTTTTCCATTTCGTTCTGTTCCGTTCTGTTCCGTTCTGTTCCGTTCTGTTCCATTCTGTTCCATTCTGCTCCATTCTGTTCTATTCTGTTCCATTCTGTTCCGTTCTGTTCCATTCTGTTCCGTTCTGTTCTATTCTGTTCCGTTCTGTTCCGTTCTGTTCCATTCTGTTCCATTCTGTTCCGTTCTGTTCTGTTCTGTTCTATTCTGTTCCATTCTGTTCCATTCTGTTCCATTCTGCTCCATTCTGTTCTATTCTGTTCCATTCTGTTCCGTTCTGTTCCGTTCTGTTCTATTCTGTTCCATTCTGTTCCATTCTGTTCCATTCTGTTCCATTCTGCTCCATTCTGTTCTATTCTGTTCCATTCGGTTCTATTCCGTTCCATTCCGTTCCATTCCGTTCTATTCCGTTCCATTCCGTTCCATTCGGTTCTATTCCGTTCCGTTCTGTTCCGTTCTGTTCCGTTCTGTTCCGTTCTGTTCCGTTCTGTTCTATTCTGTTCCATTCCGTTCTATTCTGTTCCATTCTGCTCCATTCTGTTCCATTCTGTTCCATTCTGTTCTATTCTGTTCCATTCTGTTCCATTCTGTTCCGTTCTGTTCTATTCTGTTCCATTCGGTTCCGTTCTGTTCCGTTCTGTTCTATTCTGTTCCATTCTGTTCCGTTCTGTTCTATTCTGTTCCATTCTGTTCCGTTCTGTTCTATTCTGCTCCATTCTGTTCTATTCTGTTCCATTCTGTTCCATTCTGTTCCATTCGGTTCTATTCTATTCAATTTAGTTCTGTTCTATTCTATTTCTATCATATCATATTCTATTCCATTCTATTCTATGCTTCCAGGCATGTGTAATTGGAGACCCAGTGGAATCCACGTCAGTAATATCACAGATGTGTGTTTACTATACAGATATAAAGTAAAAACTCAGTGTTACCTCAGCCTCCTCTGTCCCATTTTCCCAGGCTGTCTTTTGCTGTTTGTAAACATGTTAGTTTTGTGTTTCTGTTGCCAACCATAAACACGCATTCCTGAGTGAGTTCATGGGTTTGGGCTGCGTGTTTTTACATCTGGTGACCACAGATGCCTGGCAGTTATGTTGCTGTTATGCTGCCCAGGGCGCTGTTGGAGAGGCACAAACACAGGGGGACACACACATCACACACACATCAAACATACACACTAATAACAGCCAATTAGCACAGCACAACAGCTATGGCAGGGCTATTTGTAATGTCAAGCAAACATTTTTCATGAAGGGAAATCACAGGTCTCCCTTCACATAACTTGCATTGCTTGGAGTGAGGAGACAACATAACCCCCGCAGTGTGTTTGTGGTAAAATATCTCAATTAGTAAGTAGCAGTAAGAACATGGTGATGTCAGGTCAAACATGCCCTGAGCTCCAAATCCTATTTTTAGACTTTAGCTCTGTTGACATGAGTGATTATAAACATCAGGTCGCAGTAGTACAGTATTATATACTATCTATATTGCCTTTAACATTTCTTGGCCTAAACTGAATTTCTATCCACATTATCCTTTGCTAAATTTGTAAATTATTTGCATAAATAGATTAAGAAAAAAGCCAGAGTTTTGTAAACAGTTTTCTATGGCTTTAAAAGCAGCTGAATCTGCAGACTAGACTTTGGCTACTTTTATAAAATGGCTGTCTGGCAGAACAATGCACTTCATTGGTTCATTAAACATCTGCTTGTGTACAGTTCATCTTGTAATTCAAACCTTTATTTTGACAATATAACAGATGGAGGAGCTTATGTGTTTCACTGATTATCTATAAACACATATATATTTCAGAATAAGAGTAGAACTGGGTTAAGAATATTGTTGTATTTGTAGCAGAAAAAGGTTTTCCTGGGAACATAAAAGGAAAAACAACTGTAAAGAAACATCATATTTAAGGATGATAGCTACTCTGCTACAAATGGTTACCAAGTGGTTTGAAAAGGTTTTTTAATTAAGTGGTTTAATTAGAATAATATTCTCTCCCAGCACGTCCTACTAATGATAACAAATGGATGTGTTATGTAGCAGGAATATATAATATCCCAATATCCCAAGTGACAATTTATGAAAAGACGTCTGGGGCTTCTTGTGGATCTGAGGAGAGTTTCTTCCACAACTCCGAACTTTATAATACTAAAAACCTTAAACTTTAGTAAGAAAGAAAACGTAGAAAGGTTATTTTTTTCAATGACTTGTACCTTATTTGACTACGATCTTTATTCAGTATCACCAACGTGTTAATCAATAGACTGAGTACTGGTATGAGCACACACCCTGTTTGAAATGCGTCATACCCTTTTACTTACATTACCGCAGTTGACCATGAGGTACAGAACATACAGTAAGAGGTAGAGCGTCTATCTGCGTATGCTATTAATTATTAATCTACAGAGGAACTATAAATCCTTTATCAGACAGGCAGAAAACATGGTCACACTCTAGGTTACCCTTTATTGATCCCTGGATTAAAAGCTGTAACCTGACTCATAGTCAGTGAATGTAGGCGTTTATGAATGAACTGTATGCACAGAATCTGTTGTATAGAGACGGGGATTGTGTTAATTTCTAAAGATTGACACACTGAAAGCTGTTGCATAGATCCTATCAACACTTACAACTTTTTTTGCCTTTGAAAAAGATGGAAATGTTGGAAAATACACTATATTTCTTATTGCCAAGATAGAGATGATAATGATAATACCATCCTTATGTGTGTACATTAAATATGAAGCTAGTGCCAACAGATGGTTAGCTTAGCTTAGCACAACAAATGAAAACAGCTAGCCCGACTGTTAAATGTTGCCATCTAACTCTTTTATATGAAAGAAATTAAGCATATTTCCCAAAATGTCAACCCAGTCCTCTAATGAACATTGCAAGGCTCCACAGCAATGGTTGCCAGGTTGCCATTGTTAACAAATTCTTGAACTTTGGTTGCTATCAGTGAACACCACATAAGAATGTTATTTTAGTTCAAAGATTAAAGTCAGAATTCTGAGCAAAAGGTCAGAATACTCGCAGAAATCTCATTTAAAATATTGGGAAAAACCCTTATCTTCTTCCATATGTTACTGTAATGAAGCTTTGATTATTTTATTTCATACTTTCATTACGTATAACAGCACAGTGTCTTAATCATTAATCATGGACTAAAAATCCATATTATCATTTTTGGCAACCAAAAGTGATTGCCTGGTTGTCAATCGTGCAAACTATTTTAAAAGTTAGTGTTGAGCTCTGTAATATTTTAGTCGTATTGTATATTTAAATACTTTCCAATGACATGTTTGTGTGTCTACTTTTGTTCTGATGCCGCCTTGGTTTGCTTTGTGCATCTGGAGACATCACAGTCACGAACAGACAGTCACAGTGCATTCCACTGTAGCACCTCTACTCATGTCCTTAATGTAGTCTCCTCGTGTTTCGTTATTTTTCTCCCTTTCCCCACAAATAGTCAGAGGTGGTCGACCTTTCATGGGAGTTAAAAGAGGGCATATAGTTGTCAAGACAACCATGGGAGCAACAAGGGGAACAACTGAATGTAATGAAGCTCAGCTGAACATCTCCAAATATAGAGTGTGATCCCTTCACACAGCTGTCAGCACAGTGGAGGACATATTCAGTTTTACTGTCAGTGGATCAACCTGGCTACACACAGCCTCCAGAGGTGGGAAGTACTGGAGTACAAATACTTTGCTACTGTACTTAAGTACATTTTTCTGGTATCACTACTTTACTCCACTACTTATTTTTCTGACGACTTTTTACTTTTACTTCTTACATTTTGAACACAAATACCTGTACTTTCTACTTCTTACATTTTCAAAACAGGCTGGTTACTTTTTTTAATCTGTGTTTGGTGGCATGATCATTATTATTTAGAGTCATTGCGTGCCTATTGATTTGAACACGATCCGTGTATCCATCATTTCCTGGTCTTCTCTAAAGAAGAGGGACCAATGAGAACTTTGTCATGTTGCCGTTGTTAAGCATGGAAACATTCATTATCTAACAATGACATTATTGTTCTATTGATATAAAGGGAGGTCAGGTACTCTTTAAAATAGTTGGTAGTTATGGGTTCTTTTTACTTAAGTACATTTCGAAGCCCATACTTCTTTACTTTTACTTGAGTAAAGAAGTTAATTCAGTACTTGAGTAAAGGATGTGTGTACTTTTGCCATCTCTGACAACCTCTGAGCACCTGTACCACTTCTGATCACACATTAGCTCAAAGCCTAGAGTTCTGGGATGTCAGTTTCAGACGGATTTATATCATCTATGTTCTTTTCTCTGGCACTGACAGTCTGAAAACTGTCACTTTTGTTTGATCTGATCATCTCCTGTCTGCTCTCTCTCTCACCTCTCCAGAGATCTGTCTGCTGACCCGTGGCAGACGGACGGCCAGCGTGCGAGCGGACACCTACTGCCGCCTGTACTCGCTCTCTGTGGACAACTTCAACGAGGTGCTGGAGGAGTATCCCATGATGAGGAGGGCCTTTGAGACGGTTGCCATTGACAGATTGGACAGGATAGGTAAGAAGGCCAACTTGATTTGTAACGGCACAAATAAAGTTAACTTTATCTGATTTCTTTAACTCAGTGTTTCTTCACAATTTACTACTGTCCCCAAAATGACATATGGTTTAGTTAATTTTTTTCGGGTCCATCTGGCCAGAAGATGCACACTTTGACATTATTGTTCTCAGATCTCAATCACAAAAAAAATCAATTTCATTTTTCCATTCAGACCAAATGTATGAAATGTTTCTTGGGAGATTTAGTCACGGATAATGAGCATTACGCCTCACTGATAAAAGCCACAGGTATGGTGTCTATATAGGCATATGAGTCATTCATAAGATGAAATGAGGCATAATGGAAATGTATTCATTCATTAACTTGATGTCTCTGTCAAAAACACTGCACTACCTGACAGCTGTGACCCACTGTGGGAATGATCTTCAGAGAGGAGTCGATGGTGAAAATGTATTCATGGCTGTGAATCCTTTATTATGCGGTTTCTTGGGCATAAATCGGTCATGAAAATGGAAGACTTCCTGTGGATATCTGCCATTTTGCCAACTGTTATTTAACATACCGTGAGGGACACTTATGACTATCATGGCAGAAACCACTGAGCAAGATTATAGTTTGAACCTCTGTAATATTTCTAGATGAATGGACTGATTTGTTATAAGTGATCACTCAGCAGAGACTCTGTCTGAACGCTGAATCACATACGCACTTAAACGTGCACAAAGACTGATTTTTCTTTGAATCCGCGGTCGAGATTCACATTGAGAGATGCAAACTTCTCTACAATATCGGCTCAGTTAAATCTGCATTTCTTTTAATGACATTTGGTTTGTTTCAGATATTATCAGTCTGCATGTCCCAGAGAATGTTGTGGCTGTTCAGAAGAGTAATGTTTTGTCACATAATGTACTGTCACATTTGAAAAAAATGTTTTATTTTATTTTTTTAAATCTGTTAAAGGGGCCCTATTTAGATTTTTGGGGATTTTCCATTTCCTGTTGTGTGTTTTATAGGTTTTGTTTATGTGAATGGTCTGCAAAGGCTCTGGGCTCTGGTTTCAGACAGAGGGTGAAAAGAGGTGCTGAAGCACAGGCAGTATGAGAACAATTTGAACAATAAAGCATTCGTCAACATTCCAGTAGAGGCACAAAATACAAATATGAACCTACAAATTAGCATAATAGGGACCCTTTAATAATCTACAAAGTTACGGTCCATTTAGTAACAAAATCTACATTTAATACAATATACATTGCATTGGTTTACTAGCGCACCAATATGGCGGATGCAAAGACGCATGGTGGCGACAATTATCAGCCCCCAATTATTTTCTTTGTCTGTTCCCTGAAGCCGTTTGTTAACAAGTCTACGCAAACTTGTTATTTTTTCTTCACAATGCGAACAACTTTCCCCTCCCTTAACACCCCCCAATGTCAGTCATGCTGTTGATGTCAAATCCACCCTGTCACATGACCACACTTCACATATTTACAAAAGCCCTGGTCAGCCACCTGCCAGCTGTTGCCATAGCAGCCAGATTCCACACATGAGCAGCCTCCATTCAGCCAGCTCACATATTTTAGGGGGGAGACTGACGTGTGTGCTCCAGGACACAACCACCGACCAAGTATTCCCACTGGGCTCCTTGTGCACTTGATGAATATTAATCACTGATAATGTGTACTTTCGTTTGGCTTTGTCAATGGTGTAAGTTATAAAGCCTCTGTATCAAACACACAGAAGGCTGTCAGAAGATACAAATATGACATTTAAATACAGACTTTCTAATACATTTCAGATGCTTTGTTCCTTTCATAGTAAGAAAAGATTGTTGATGCATCTCCATAAGGTCTTAAGTGTGGAATAAGTCACAGTTAAGATTTTCCATTGAGCATCTGTGACCAGGATGGCTTATTCAGTTCAACCTGAAGGAGCATCATTATTCACTATTCTGATGGAACCAGGCTTGCTCCAACAGCAGCCATTTATACATTTGAACAAAAACTCCATATAGAGAGCGGCTAATCCCTTGTGCATTGTCTTCATACACTTAATGCATCGCATTGTAAACAGTGTCACACAAGATCAGCAGAATAAGCAGTATTGCTGTGATTTAAAGCGGGATGGAGGTGTTACTTGATAATGAATAGGCAATGCAACTGATATGTGAGCTTACGAGCTAAAGCCTAACACCTGCTCATTGGCTCTGACTTCTGAAAGGCTGATAGCTTAATGAAACTCTGCATTGGTGCCACATGTGTGTCTACCTAACAGCATGTCCTTGTCAACACACCCTTGAAGTGCCAGCAGAGAGTTATTGTTCTTATATGTTGTCTTTGGCCTCTGTTTGCCCTTCATGGTTTGGTCAAATGTTGCTGCATCTCAACTGTGAACCAAGAACAAGGCCCAATTATCTACGAGGAATATCTAGAATTAATCCTTGACCAAAAACTCTCTCAAAGTTAGACCGGGGCCTTTCCAGGCTGCAGCACAGCAAAAGAGGATTCTTCTGCCTCCTTCCTGTCGTTATAGTGGACCTCATCACAAAAACCTCGATGGCCAACCGTGTGAGTTTTTTTCGGCCACAGATGGATCTCACGCAATCTTGCAGGGAGTCATGGCAGTCTGGATCTGCCTACTCCCATCTTCCTCCTTCTGGCCCTGCGGATGACTGTGCGAGAGAGAAACAAGTTCATCAGCGACCTTTTTGACCTCTTTGTTAAATGTGTATCACTCAGGCTGTTGTAATGACTAACAGCCTGGCTTCAAAGCCAGCTCCCTAAACCACCTGCTGCATCAGAGAATCTTGGAACAGCCCCTCTTCAACTCCAAGTTACAGCAGATGGTGGATCATCTATGTTCAGCTCAAAAGGCCAACAAGCAGCTGATATCTGCTCTTTGATCCCAAGCGTCTTCCCCCTGCAGTGCTTGTTAAGCCCTGCGATTGGCCTTTAGCGCCATAATCGTCATTGGCCGTCTGCTTGAAGTATTACAACTTGCAAGTGGAAGAAGAGCGCCTGCATAAGTGTATGAATGTTTATGCAGAAGTGTCGAGATCATACCAGTTATGCAAGTAAAATGTGTCTCAAGCATCTGATCAGGCATTTTTTTATCTTCCCCACAATTAGAGCCAGCACCAGTCATTTCTAACAACATGAGCACAATACAAGAGAACCTGTAATCACCTACAGGAAGTATATCCATAGAGGCACACATAAACAGATGTGTTGGCAACAGAAAAGCTCTCTCACTTTGTCATCTAAGTGAGTCTGCAGAAACCCAAGCAGGCACACACATGAGCCCTGTGATGGGGATATAGTGAGTCAGTGTGAAGAGGATGCTCTTTATTTCTCTCTCTGTCTTTGTTGCTTGTGTTTGTCAGTGATGGATTTTGTGTTCGGAGGAAACGGTGGATAGTTCTATATTTAGACTCCTTTCTCCACCGTCACCGGGAATAGAATTAAGTATAAAGGTAAATGGTGATGATGTTTTTTCTGTGTCAAACAGACGCTGAGACTAAGAGAAGGTAGAATAATGCGACCTGACTTTGCTTGTACAACTAAAGCTGTTTTTCTCTTAGCAAACAATCAAATAAACCTACATGCTGTGTCCTTGTCATTGCAGGCAAGAAGAATTCAATCCTGATGCACAAAGTTCAGCATGACCTGAACTCAGGGGTCTTCAACAACCGCGAGAACGAGATGATCCAGGAGATAGTTAAATATGACCGGGAGATGGTTCAGCAGGTTGACGTTCCACGGCCGCGGGCCATGTCCATGACGCCTCCTCTTCACGGCGGCATCTTTGATTCTCCGAGCTCCTCCTCGCGTCCTCAGAATTCAGCGATCGCCACTCTGCAGCAGGCCGTAGCCATGAACTTTTGTGCCCCTGTGCAAGGTAACTCGATGGGAGGGGGGACCCTGCAGTCGCCCAGGATGGTGAGGAGATTCCAGGTGCTGGAGAGTGTGCCCAGCCCAGTTTCAGCCTCTCCCCTGCAGTCTCAGTTCCTCCCCGCTGGTGCCTTCGCCCCCGCCCTGGCCAGCCCCTCGGTCCAGAGCCCGCTGGCACTCGGAAGACGATCTTTCCAGTTCGGCTCCAGCATGGCCGGCCCCCCCTCGGGCTCCCAGCTCTCTCTGACCCAGCAGCACATGACCAGCCCCGCACACCGGCCCAGCTCACACGAGAGTACTCATTCCCTGCAAATGGGCGTTTTAAACCAAGACGCCAGGGCACTGTCAGCCTCTCAGCCCTCACTGCCTCACGAGGGGGCGCAACAAGGTGCCCCAAGCCCCCCCCAGTCCACAAGAGTCTCCTCCACTTCTATTGGCCCCCCTCAGATAACATCGGGTCACACAGGGGTACGTAGCGCTATACCACATAGGGTGGTGCTGCCCCACCAGATGTCTGTGGGGGCTTTCCCTGCAGTATCCCTGCCTGGGTCTGCGCAGGGTTTTGGGGCCGGTGCAGGGCTGGCAGTAGGGGGTGCGGTAACAGGTCTGGGGGACTCGGGGTTACCCAAGAAGGACCCTATCGGGAGCCTTCCTGAGACAGACCACATCAATGTCAGATCCAGGCTTTCCTCAAACTTGTGATCTTAATTCAACTCTTCTAGTGGAGTGACTCTAATGAGGGGCTGGACTGCAGGAGCACGGGGGGGGTTTCTGCTCTCTCTCCCACAATCTGCTCAAGTTTGACTATCCGAATGTATGAATGATAAGTGAGTGGAAGCAGGGAGAATCCATTTGGAGACTGTTCTAACTCATTGAGTTGTTTCTACTCACAGACTGTATAGTTGCACAGTAACGTAGCATCCTCCCTTCTCCAACGTCTGTATTTACTGTGTTTCACAACATAGTCAACAACATACTGTATCCTCTTTATTATCCTTTCATCCACGTCATGTAATGCAAACTTGTGGTCGGGTGGATCGGACTAAAAGAAATCAGGGACCTGCTTCAGATATCAGAAGTTGGATGCTACTGTATCTACTATATTATGTGGGCTGGCTGTAGAAGACGATCATCTCACAAAGGTACAATTATTGTAGTTTTTGTAAAGAAACCTAAAAAGTTTGAACATTAAAAGGGTGTTTTTCTTATATTTCTTAAGACTATAGACTATTTGTAAGCACAAATTGGACAATATTCCAATATGACCTTATTATAAGTATTTCCAGCCATATTATTCCCAGACTATTGATATGAATACCATTATTTACAAATCAAACCCTGATTTTTGTAATCTAGTTGGCCTCTTTTGTAAGTCTCCCCTGCCCATGATAGTCCCCACACATAATTATGTGAGACCCTCGGACAGACAATTAATAACCTTCATACTAAAAGTACAGCTGTGGAACAAAATGTCTATTTCCAGCCAAGCCATCGATCTCTACAGGACATTTCAGCTTGTTTGTTTAATTTAAAGTTGCGTCAATCAATATTTTTTATATCAACAATGAATAAAATGACTAAGGTACCAGGTTAAGGGAGTTCCTTGTAGTGATGAACCAAAAGAGAGGGATCTGTATCTCCATTGATAGCAACAATCTTTGGGTTTAGAGCCCATAGATTTGCAGTCTTATCACTCATCAAACCTGTTTTCAGTAGCGCAAGGCAAACGTTTTCAGCAAACTAAAACACATTTGTTGACCCTGCAAATTGAACAAGCAAGAGAATCAGATGTTTCCCTAAGGAGTTGGTATCGACTAAACCAGAATAATATAGATATAAAAACATAGGTGGCCAGAAAGAAGACTCCAGTGGTATTAAAATGTTGCTTGTGTATGCTGAAAGTTATACAATGTCAGCTTGTTTTGTCATTGTTTTTCCATTTTAGTGGCCTAAAATACATTGGTGCAGCTATAAGATTCGTAAATCCAATAAAAATATCCCTGACTCAAAGACACTTTTTCTTGACAGCAGATTATTTAAAGTAATAGTTGAAAGACTGTAGTCACGTGAGTAGTAACAGACCAAGTATTCAAATGTATCTTAGAAATTATTATTCACTGCCAGTTAATTACACAGAATTTTCTACGACTCAAAATGTAAATCCATTCAAACTCGCATAATGACCATGAATCTCATATTTCTTGCAGCAGCAGTTTGGGCAAATTGTTTCTAAGCCAAAGTGAATTCCATACAGATAATGAAACGTGTGCAGAGCTCAGCCTTACTGTAAACGCTACAGCTTCGATCGACAGCCAAGGACAGTGCGGATCATTTGCAGGATGTATATTGCAGCGTGCCTCTGTCATTGACGCCTCAATAAGAGTCCATCAGACGCCGCTGAGTTGTGTCCAAAAGCATTAAAAAGGGAACATTTTGTCCTGAACCTGACATTATACTCACCACATCTCATTAATGCCTGGACCATTACTGGGTAATGACACTGGAAATTGGAATCCCTCCGGTCTGTTCGGGACCGTTATTATTCTCCTTTCATTGGATTTCATATTTCAGTGTCAATGATTTGCATTTTTCGTTTTGCTTAGTTTCAGTCCCTGTGTTGTTATCCACCTTGAGAGTTCCAAATGGGACAAGGTTGAAGGTTTGTAAGTATTTTTATACAGTGTTTTTGAGATCTGTTGTGTTTTTGTTCTATGCCCAAATTATGCCCTTTGGAACCTATTTGAATGCCTTGAAAAAGTATTTATATCGAGGCTTGTTATGGTAATGTTTGACTGAACTTCTCATTGTGTTCTGGAGAGACCGTCTCAGGACAAGAAATTAATTTAGTTACAAAACAACTTTATGGACATTTTTACTTCATTAGAAAGCACACAGTAGAGGAAGATGAAAGGATACGGAAAGGATGAATTGCAAAAAAAACAAATGGCCGGTAGCTAAACCTCATAAGTAACTCCAATGTTCTCAATCAACCCAACACTTTTAATAAAAGCTGAAGAACGAACAAAGTGAAACCAAAGTTTCTTTTTATGTATGCACATGTCTAAAACTGTTGAATCATTCTGACTGAATAAACTAACTAAAAGTACTAATCAGATTATACTACACTTAACACGTTTGGTAATATTGACAGCAATAAGTGTTTGATGAAGATGATGTGGTCAGGTTAAGTTCTGTTTTATTGTTGATGTTGATGGAGGTTCAATATTTTCCCAAACTTCACAAGATTATGTCTAAAGCCTGATTTTGTAGCAGATATTTAGGTTTAAATCTGTACTCTGATTGGTTATTTCTATTTGTCATCATGTAAAGCCGACTATTTATTCAGTTAGCCTAGTTTACTGTTACTGTAGACTTGCTGAAATGAAATCTTTTTAATCTTGGACCAAAAATGCTTACGATCATCTGTTTGGACTCATATTACTTGAAGATGTAATTAAAGCAGAACAAAACCGTTTGCATCACAGAAGATGTATCACTTGTTTTTCTACAGTCGCTCACAGTTTGTATAATACTGCGCCAGATGCTGTGGGTTCTGCATGGTTTCTTCTACTGTGTATGTTTCATTTGTTTATTTATTTTTCTAATCTCCCTCCACAGTTCATTTGCAAATGTTATTTTTTTTTGACGAATGCTACTACTGCTCGATGATTTTGCCTTCTATACTCTTAACCTCTGACATCTAATTAGCATGTTGCCCAGAACCCTTTAAATGCACTTTTCCCTCTTTTTGCAACTTTACAAACACATTTATTAAACATATGTATTATTTATACGTTAATGTAAGCAGCTGTTCACACACATGCGTCAGCTACAACAGAAACAGTCTGTTTGCCACGTTGTGTGCTTTCAAACATTTTCTCCCCCCCCGCCCCGACTCTTTCTTTAGAGATCTCTCTTTTGTGTCTCCAATGTACGGAAGAGGATTAGGGCCACATGGGACATTTTTTTAAAAGATGAACACTTTTTTTTGTTCTGAGTAATAAGCCAGAATTCTGAGAAAAAAATTATTATATATTTTTTCTGAAAATCTCAGAATTCTGACTCTCGTCTCAGAATGTCACTTGTGGTCCTTATCCTCTTCCGTCCCAATCAGCGTCTCCAGAGTTAAAACACCTTCCCGTTCTAAGGAGTCTTTGGGTTAATCCATGGCGGTAAAATATGGAGATCAGGGCGTTTGCATACAAGGGCTGTTCTTCGGATTGAGGGATTATGTTATCCTTACATCTAAAATCATATGATTTCTCTCTTATTGGCCACTAGAGAGTATATGACACAATCTTTATACTATACTTGTTCCTGTACTTAACAGTAACATTTAAAACAGTGATCACTCTGCATTCATCTGTTATTAACTTACATTCAGACTTTTTCGCGTTCTTTCTTTTTCGTTCTTTATGTATTTTTCTTCTTCAATTCTTTACAAAGGGTACAAAGCCAACTCCAATTCATACCTAAACACTACAGACACATGTAGTGTGTGGTCTAGTGTTAACTGATATCTAAACCATTAATAAATAAATATATTCCCCTGTATCTCAGGCAGTCGCTGTCAGTGAAATCAGACACTAACAGTGCAGCACAAGTGTTTCTGTGTCAGGGGCCTGATTTTCATTTAGTGGCTTTTTCTAGTTGTCGTATCCCATAACATTAACAACGTGCATATATAGTGCCTAGCATACACTTGTGTCCTTGTGTGGGTGGCTGTAGAAATATTTTTTTTAAGTAAGTTCCTCCTAGTACAATCATTTCTGTCAGTTTTATCTCACTGCAACACGTGAAGAAGATACAATAAATTGTGTTTCAGTACGGAATGATTCCTCTGCTGTGTGTTTAGTGAACACAAATAAGTTATAATAAGTTTGAAAATTCTTATTAGAAGCAGATCATTACTGCAGTAAAGGCATGTGATGGTGAATGTCTCTGCTTTCTGTTAGACATTATATTACAGTGTGTGTCAAAGTTACAAAGGCATATGAATCTCTGTTATAATTGTTTACATACTTATTTAATATAATCTGATTATTTGTCTGCTTATCAATAAAAATGACACTTCAAACTCAGTAAAAGATGAAAATATTTCTCATGCTGAATTTTGGGATTTTTGTTTTGAGTATTTCAATGCTGTCATTATAAAGTTTGACATTTTCAAAGCCTCTTATGTGCCCGTTGTAATTTATTTACATACTGTAACATACTGACATCAATATGTAACACTTGCGTTTCTATTGGCTAACAGTTTAAAACATTGTACGTGATAGGCTAAGGGGCGGGACATCTCTAAGCGGTTGACAACAGAGCCGGCCAGCTAACCAATCAGAGCAGAATGGGCTCTGGTTTCAGACAGAGGGTGAAAAGAGGTGCTGCAGCACAGGCAGTATGAGAAAAATAAAGAGCTTTTTGAACATTAAAGCATAGAGACATGTCCCAGCAGAGGCACAACATACAAATATGAACCTGAATATTTGCATAGTAGGGCCCCTTTAAGACTAACTTATATACATTGTATAAAAGCTATGAAGAGAAAGCTTTTGAAAACCATTTTTGCTCTGTCGTACAGAAAGTGGCGACAACGCTTTTTATAAAATGCTAAAACATCTCAGACATCAAACGTTTCTTGAGTCCATTATTCTTTCATACTTAGGTCTTCTTGATAAGTCAAGAGTGGCATTTTGTCTATACTGCTGGTGTGGCAGCCAGAGTTTTCCCTGCACAGTTGGGACAGATGGTCTCCGAAGGGGAAACTGAAGATTCAAACACTTGAGTGATTTTTCCAATCAAAGCTTAGTGCACATGATGAATCTTCTGTAGATGTAGTACTTGCTACTTTAAAAGTCCAAACTTCCACTTAATCTTATACAAATAAATATCCTAAAGAAGCCTTTTAACATCAAAATAAAAAAGCAAATTCATTGGATCCTAAGTAGGGACTCTGACACGTTTCATCTACGCAGGTCTAGTTCACTGAAGCCTCTCTGAGTCAGGCACCAGATGTGTGAGTACCGTGTGTTTGATGGTTGTTAATCAAGCCATCACTGCCTGTCAGTCAGGATATAGGTCAGACAAAGGAAACTCAAACTGACACACACACACACACACACACACACACACACACACACACACACACACACACACACACACACACACACACACACACACACACACACACACACACACACACACACACACACACACACACACACACACACACACACACACACACACACACACACACACACACACACACACACACACACACACACACACACACTGTACCACCTGTCTCTCTCTCTCTCAAACAGCAGCGCTCCCTCACCCCACTTCCTCTCACCCGCTGACAGAAGGCTCTTGCCCTACATGCCCCCCCCCCCCCCCCCCCCCCACCCCGGGACTGTCTGCTCCCCTGAAAGAGCCGCTGAGTGCCGACCCTCCCTGACTCCGAGGGCCAGGAGATGGCAGGGATAGCCCAGGAGCCTGGCAGGTAATCAAAGCGCTCTGAGAGAGAGTGCTGCAGCTATCTGAGAGCGGTTCCAGCTCTGGTAGAAAGCAACCAACACTTCTACTGTGTTCCCTCTCTCATGATCCTGTGGTGGTAATAACGAGTTTGCTAAAAGCCCCACACTCATATCTCCTCGATGAGATTCACTAACGCAGGTGTGGTGTCATTCTGGGAAATAGCTGCATATGTTGTCGACATTTAATTCAAATGTAATTTAAATGTAAAGCAGACAATATTCCATACTAATATGTCTGCCATGCCAAATAATCATCACTTTCTATTTCTCGTAATGGTGGGTTACAGCGTATCCCAGCATGCTTCAGTTGTGAGACAGGGAAACACCCCCAGTCCTGGTTATCAAAAGGCTAACACAGATAGAGAGGCACTGACATTTCAAGCCTCAAGACAACAACATTCACAACATGAAATGCAAAGAAATAACACCAAAATATTGAGATGTATGGCATTAAAGAAAAGGACTTGAGGCTCTCATGTTTACTGGAGCTTTGCATTATAAACAAATGGGTACAGTGACTTTTTTTGTATTAGTTTGGACACTCTAGTTACTCTATACAGAGTACCCCAATGTTCCTGACCTTGAAAGAAGGAGCATGATGAAACAATCTTAAATCACAGTCCACTTGTTTGTTTTTCCAGAGCTTTCAGCTGCATCCCCCAGTCTTCATCAGCAGCTGATGAAGACGGTTCAAAGGGAATTAGGGGACTTCAAATGTATTCAAATGGCCACACATTTGTTAAAAATCACCTTCTTTTTTGCTAAGCCTACAGTAACGAGTTTAAAGAAAGGAGCATAACATAATATAATAAAATGCAGTATTCTTATTAAGTATTAAATAGAACATTTTACAACAAAACACCTCATACAGTATTATAATTATAGTATGACACAGAGTAGAGGTCAGACAGAGCTTCATTGAATGTTTTAACTGAGTTTATATACCGTAAGATGTATGTCCAGAGACTTTTTAAAGCCTAGGATCTCAATGAATAATAACAAATATTTAGTATTTAAGGCAATTCATATTCAAAAAATCACTTGAAAAAGACAAACAAGGTCAAGAGACATCAGCTTTTACAGAGTCTGATCCATCAGCATAAAACTGTATGGGCTCAAAGAGGGAAAAACTTTTTTTAAAGAAAGTAAATGATAATATTTTCTTCACCTTTGCACTATATTTCCCTGATACAGAAACATCATCAACAGGACATCTCTCAGGAGAGGAGCAGTAATGGAGGCTTTTTGACTACTTCCTGCTACCAGCCGTGCTCCATTAGGGATACTGCAGGTCGGCTCGGTGCAGCTCTCCCATCTGACAGCAGACATCCTTGGAATAACCCCAGAGTAAATGATACAGGCATTAACATTTTGCTGTATGAGCACCTCTGATATCCTGTTTACTTCCTCAGCCAAAGAAAATGGTAGTTTCTGCTCCCGTCATCTCAACATGTATGTTCTCTGACCTGATCCTCTGCACTTACCCTCCATGTGTTCTTCCTTTTTAACTGAAGTACTGCCAGCGTTTTAAAGCTCCTATAGCCGTCCCTGTGGCGCGAGTCGCAGCTATTGATCGAGACACTTATACCTTCAGAATCCATTCATCCATGACCACTCCTTGATATGGAGGTCATGATGTGTTGAAGCCTACAGTATAAGTCATAGACAAGTCATAGTAAAGTAAAAATATCATGTTGTCAAAGGTATATATGTCGTATAAATTCATAAATGGTCATAGTGTAGTATGTCAAAAAAGGCAGAAACTGTCTAATATAGTATGCCATTTAAAGAAGAATAGTATAGTCATGTTATACAAAGATGTCATGACAAATTGAAAGTATATGTAAAAAAAAAAAAGGCATTTTATAATTGGTCATACAAAGAAAAGATTGTAGTTTGAGATAATATGTCCTAAAAAAGTAACTGTGACGATTCATAAAAATATCATAGTATAGTATTTTATGAAAAAAGAGAAGGAAGGAATAATTTGTCATAAAAAAGTCACAGTATAAAAATCCTAAAAAGGTCACATTGCATTCTTTTTTATGATTAGTCATGAAAAATGCATAATTTGTCATAGAAAAGTCATAGTGTGTTATAACATAAAATAAATGTCGTAATTGGTATACCGTAAAAAATAAACAATATTGTATAATCAGTCATAAAAAAGTAATGTTTCAGTACGACATTAAAAAGTGATATTGGCCTACATTTCTCCTCTCAGCCCGGTGTCAGGGCTAAGCTGTGAACTGTGCTCAGTGTGTGTGAAGTGAGATCCTGAGAGATCTTTAAAGCTCTGTCCTTGACACCTGACCTCACAGAGGAGAGGAGACACGCTGCAACGCCGCCACAAAGGACACCTCGGCTTAGTTTGATAGTGGAAGCTTCAGTGTGAAGGACACCGAGTGGCTTCAGCAGCTGAGTTTGGAAAAGTAAAACTCAATAAAAATGGAAATGTAGTGTTTTTGTATCTGTGATGTAAACTTCATTTTGAAACGGCACATACATGCTAAGCCCCAGCTTCATATTTAGCATACAGATGTGAGGGTCATGACTTCTCATCTAACTCTCATCAAGAAAGAAAGACGAGCATTTCCTACACTTTGATACTAACCGCGGTGAGGGTAAATGTGTCTTATGTGAAATACTTTCTAAACAAAAACATTTTTAATAGAAAATTATTTTAGATGTTTCAATATCTTCCATGTCATGTGACCCATTGACCCCCATACACAATACATTGAACATTGTTATGACAGACACCAGTCACAGACTTTTCATTTATATTATTATATTAAATAGAAAACACTTTTCAATAAAGTAACTTAATTTTAAATAATACATTCATTAACATCCTATTAAAAGAGGTGTGTCCTTCTTATCCAGTGTAGTAATACAATTCTGCATGTATTTGAAGTTATTAGTTTACAAGACATGGAAGCTATTCAAAACAAATCAGATATGCCAATAAAGAAAACTTCTACATTTCCATAACCGAAAATCATGTTATAGAAAAATAAAATAAATAAATAAATCAATAACCGTCCTCTGACGTATTAAACGTGATTGTACCTATAATATGGCAATACTAATGGCTGTCCTGACAGAAAGCACATTGAGCATGAATCACATTTAAAAGAGTATTTCAGTGTAAAATCAAGTCATTGGATGGCTGCTGATTTTTACCAAGATGATAAAATAACAGATTATAGTAGCAACTCATTTCCAAAAAATCTGAGCAGCATCTCTTTGTGCATGTCGCTATGCAAATCATCCCAAAAATCTACAGTCTGACCAGCGCACTATTTATGCCCCCTTGAAGATTATTTCCATTTCATTACATTGTCACTCAGCCAGCTTTGTTTGGCTACAATCTACATTTGCCTTTGAACATCAACGGCACCTTTTGTCTGAAACTGCTGTATCGTTCCCAGCAATCATCAGATAGCACTTCTGCTATTTTTACTTCTAGATGTGGCACTGGCCCAGAAAAATAAGATCTGAGTTGATTAGTGAAGCCTGCAAACCCTTTGTGGTGCATCTAAAAGGAGGCCTTCATCTCACGATACACAAAAGATTTGAAATATGCAGATATAACAAAAAAAAATCAGGCTCTCATTCATCCTATTTAAGCACAGTATGAATACCAGCCATTTCTTCGAAACCGCTGAATTAATAAGCAGACATTTTAAGAAAGTTGTTTATTTTAGAGCAATTGTCAGGTGTTTAGTCACTCCTAATAGTGAAGAATCAAGAGTTTCATGTGGCACAATGCTATCCAAGAACCCTTTGACTTATCCCTCCAGATTTCTCCGAGGGTCTGGTATCCCCCGGTTCAGTTTGTCTTTCATTTCCTTTTCAGATGCCTCTTCTTCAAACTTTATAAAACCGCCTACATATCGTGTCAGAGAGCATCCTGCCATCCAGTAAGTGATGGGATCGATGATGAGGTAGGATAGACCAGAGGCAAGTCCACGCTCTGCGGAGGTCCTCACAGCAGGACACACACACACATAATAACACACTTAATCAAACACACAAACACACGCCTCATACTGCATCACTGACAATTACAGTTTATAGGGGGTAAAGTATATAGAGCAGCATAATAGTTGCATAGAGATGCAGTCAGTATGGCTCATGTACACACACACACACACACACACACACACACACACATTTACCTGAATATGGTATTAGCATCCATAATAAAAAGGTCATTTCACTCAATGAGGTCTTTACATTCCTATCGGGTGCTGATTCTCTCATCATTTCGGCTGGATGAGTATTCCTACTTCTCATCCATCCATCCATCAGTCCACTAGTCAGTTAATCAGGCAGGTTCACTGTGTGTTAACGCCTCCAGCAGCTCCCGTCTAGCTGTGGACGAGGATCAATGTCCCGATGTCTGAGGGAGACAAAGCCGGTGAGACCCGGGGGCCGTCAGCCTCCCTGCAGCACTCTGTCGATTTCACTCATTTCCCTCTGCTGGATCGCCCTCATGAGCCTCTCAGCTGAAGAAATAAGTGGATGCTTTCACCTGCTGCAGATCGAAGTCACCTGGAGAGCAAGAGGCGAGGTGTCAGAGCAGGTTTAGGTCTTTGTACAGTAGTTAGAAAAAAAGTACATTTGCATTAAACACAAAACTTAAAAACACTTCAGCAAGCTACATATGCTAACAAAGCTAATTGCTGCAAACTTGCCAGCATTGCATTGTTTAAAACACTGTAACAAACAGTTGGACTGGGACTAGGATAACAATTCATCAAATTCATTAATTGGCAGTATTACTACAAATCTTAAATTATGAGCTCTGTAAGGCTCTAACTCTAGCTAAATGCTAACGTCAGCATGCTAACAGGCTCAGAATGACTACGATAACATGCTGATGTTTATTATCACTATCTTATATTTCGCGTGTTAGCATTCTTACATGTGCCAAATAGAACAAAACACAAAGCAGAGTTAGGATAGGATAAGTTATTTTTTTAATTGGGTCAAACTCAGGAACTTAGATAGAACCTTTTTGTTTCCTAAGCACCAGTAAAATTCCCAAAACTTAATATACTACTTGAATTTTAATATTTGCCCTGGGTGAAGCCCTGGCCTGCACTCTGTGTGCTTTTAGCTTCTCTGTCAGCTGCCTACACCAGCAGAAGCTTCAGCCTGAATTATTGAGGAAAGGACATAAAAAGTTAAGGAATGCTAAAACTGGTAGCAAATGATGTTGAGATGAATGATTTAAATTAATAAGAGGGAGGAACTGATATAAACTGTCTTTTGCTCATTAAAATCAGAAAGATCTCCCAGCAAAGAACTCTAACTTCAATCTACTCCATGCAGTATATTTGCACTTTTGATCACATATGGCTCTGAATTTAGCGTGTAAGAAAGTACTTTATTCGCTTAAACACAGACAAAGTAACATCTAAAAATAAAAGACGTGTTTCAACTTGTATGGTTCTTACAAACTTGCAGCCAACATTTACTAATCAAATAAACCGAAATCCTCATAAAAGCCAGACCCAAGCTGTTAAACACAGTAATGTAAGTCATCAGTGTGTTTTGCAGCATTTTCCCCTCTGTGTGTACAGATCTTCCTGACTCATCGGCTGTCCTGCTGGATCACACACTGAAACCTGATTGACCTCAATAACAAGTTGAGGATGCTTCCTAGTGAAGATCATAGTGGACTTAAATGCATATCTGCCTAGTTTTATATTAGAAACTGAGTACAGTGGACTTTTCCGGGCCACACACACACTGACAGAGGAGGGACACAATTAACAGTAATCAATTTATACAACCCAGCTGTCAGGGCCAAGCAGACAGTCAGTGTACAGATGGAGATGGAGCGAGGGCTTACATAACAGCCAAGCCTCCGTCCAACTGACCAACAGAGCATCACTTCAGAGCTTCACTGGACAACAATAGAGAGACCCTCGCAGTGGCACTCCACTCATGACAAAAGCTTTAAATTCATTTTAGTCGCAATAAATGGCTTTTCCGGTTTGAATGAGCAGGCTGGGCTAGACAAGAAGCTAAATACAATGGGATTACTGTATACAATATAGGGAACAGCAATTAGCAAACTAGATAAAAAAATAGACGATTGTATTAAAACCCAATATAATAGCCATTCTCTTATTCCTGCTAACCTATTAGGAAAATAAATCATCACCCTGTATCTTGGTCCCCTGAAACAACCACACACACACACACACACACACACACACACACACACACACACACACACACACACACACACACACACACACACACACACACACACACACACACACACACACACACACACACACACACACACACACCACACACACACACACACACACACACACCACACACACACACACACACACACACACACACACACACACACACACACACACACACACACACACACACACACACACACACACACACACACACACACACACACACACACACACACACACACACACACACACACACACACACACACTGACCTGTCTGGGGCACTCTGGTCAGACACATACACAGCTCCACGTATTTCAGGGTATCCTTCTTGCTGGCTTCATCCCTGCCACAAAAGAGGAAAAAAGTTTAGTAACTCTGAGAAAGACAAAGTTTGTGTTCAAAGTCAAAGAGTCATGCACTTTCTGGGTTTTCTCGGGTAGTTTTAGTCATCATTTAAATGTCTTCATCGGTTCTCGGACTGATTATATTCAACCTTCACAGGATATAAGATGCAAGTTGTTTTTGAGACCAGTCAGTACAGCGAGTCTATGACTTCGGCACATTATCAGTTCTTCCAAAGGTGGCAAAACATACCTGTTACTGTGTGAAACGTGATTAGGACACGGACAAATGGCTATTTAAATGTTTAACCACTCACTGTTCTGCCTGCAGGATGATAAAACTAAATGAAACTTTTCCGACTGCTAGTTCAGTAAAACTTATGAGAGGTAGAGGGAGGGAGTAAGACAAATAGTAAGGGAGCTGCTGTGGAGTAAAGGCTATAGAAAAGGTGTCCAATTATCCAGGAGAGAGAAACACAGAATCAGATGATGAGCATAACCTAGCCCGAGGCCAGCGAGACAGATGAATGGAGAAAGAGAGAGAGGGAAAGTAATTTTGTATCTAATGTCACAGACAAGTGGAGGAAAATATCTGGCATGTTAGTACAACTTTGACAATCTTATATCTAACCCCATAACCTCTTATGTGTGTGTTCCTTTAGTGTGGACTTGTGGGACGTGCATGTTCAGTGTATCGTGGCTATACCGTAAAAGTCCATAGAGATCCTACAGTGTTGCATAAACACAGACAGAGAGTCTGAAGGCTCTGAAGGTTGTTGTGTACGAACAAAAGAAATCAGAGGAAGCACAGATTGCAGTTGTTGGTAACTAAGTATGAAAAGAAACATGTAAATATTAAATTATATTAAGCTAAAACGAAGATACTCTGATAATAATTTGTTCCTAAATTGGAGCTGCTGCGAAAAACCCAGATTTTTAACACCATTACCCTGATGGATAACCGGCCAGTGTTGCTCCTGAGACTTAATTGTGGTTCTATCGGGGCCAACAAACAGGGCTGAGTCGGGCTGAGTATGCTAAACTAGAGAGAGGATCGCTGGCAAGGGGGCTACAACTACAACAAGATGGACATATTTGACCGTGATTTAATTGTAATACACGTTTCAAAATGATGCCGAAGTAACAACATACTGATACCGGTTAGTAAAAACCATGAATTAATGCTTTGGCAAGTTTGCAGACAGACGGCAGGCGAAATTTTTTTAAAATGCGTGTTTTCTAGATGGAGATTGGCTAAGCTAACTCAGTATATGCTCCGACCGTCCACACTCACAACAACGGCCTATACAGACATAAATAAAGCAGCGACTGTATTCACCATGACACAGGCAGTCTGTGGTGTGTACTTGTTTAACTTTTGTCGAGTTTCTGAACATATATGAGGAGCTGTGAGCTCTGAGTGCTAACAGCTAACGGCTGTGTTGTTTTTCTGGGGTTCTCATTGAAGATGACGTCACGGCTCCGCCTACACTGCGTTACTATAGTAACTACCCCAGTTCCTAAACTGTAATGGAAGCGTAGCATGAAGTGAGCCGGCCCTGTTAAGGCTCAACGCGGCCAAGCAGTACCGAGCGTGGCCGAGGCCGACCGTGTGGTGGAAATGCGCCATTAGAGGAACTGCATGTGTGTGTGTGTGAGAGAGTTCCTGGTGTGTAAACTCACGAGATCCCAGTGCAGTATTTCTGGACCATGTACTTGGACAGCTCCTCCAGGATTGGCTGGCTGTGCAGGGCGACAAACTGTTCCCGACAGATCTAACGGGAAGAGGAAGTCACAGAGAGAAGCGTTTTTTAGTTATTCGTGGCCCAAATACTGAATCGACAAGCTCAAACCACTCTGCCTTGCCTGTGTATCTTTGACATTCTTTATTAAAGTATGTGAACACAGAGAACTATGCTCTGCAAAGAAAAAACCGTAGAATGTTAAATGCCGGGTAAAGTGTTGATTTGAATGATATTGCTGACAGTGCGCGCATGGGAAAAAGAAGAGCCATCATTTCTGTGCTGGTTGCAGGATCTCAAAATCATCCCTCAGCAGGTGTTAGAAAACATGTTGACATTTTGAGTATTTATAAGTGAGGAACAATTCTGGATTGGTATTCTGCATAGCTGGTGGCGCTGGCTAGCTAACTTTACACATTGAACAGACCCGAACACAAGAAATGTAAGCATAAAAACATGTTAGCACATACAGTTTGAACTTCCTGCTGTTCATCACCAAATATATAATAAGTTTAATGATGGAAATATGCCATTCAGGTTCATGTATTTATTTAAAGGAAGGATACAGTCGCATCATCAATCTGGTATTTTTTGTCCTCGCTATCTTTCATGTTTGTCGAGATTTCTGTTTGAATTGTGGCATTTTTGATATGATTGATAAACCAACTTTGCCATCAAAGCTTTAAAGCAAGTGGGAAATGCATAATAAAACACAAGGATGGATACACATTTTCTGTCACTAGAGTATTATTTATCAGCCACAGAGGAAAGAAAGAACACAAGCTCTCAGTCGTTCTGATTTATTTTCTTCCCACATGTGTGAACACATCTCCCAATGACGTCACGCAGGAACCCTGCTGGGTGGTTCAGAAAGAGGGCGAATGAAGGACGAAGGAAAGATCAGTTGCCATTAAAATAAGGACTTTCTGAATGGGCTTTGGTGTGGACTAAGATATTGAATCCCCCTCCTCTGCCGCTGTGTTCAATTACCTGTGTAATGAGGAAAGCGTATACTCACACATCGAGAGAATATGAGGGAGAAGAAATGTACTGAGAGGGGATCGCTTCATTGGTTGTTACTCCTCTGAGATTGGATGAAGACCTAAAGCTGGGACTGTTCTCTAAAGCTACGGCTAAAGAGGACTGTGACTTTATGGTAATTTGATCAATTTAATGCTACGCTGTGTCTCCGTCAGGGCCTCATGACAAACTAGTTTCAGCAGGCAGGGGCAGACGGTCATTTATTCAGCACAACAGGCTCTGATGGGGCTCCCTGCACCCAGCAGCCTGTAAATGTCACTGAGTACCCATTTAGTTTGTTTTTCTGGCTTCACAAAGCTCTACCTTAGCAGAATCACTAGTGATGCTACTAAAAGAAAGTCTGTAGGTAAAAGCAAGAGAGACCCAGGAGACTTGAATCCCATTTGCCACCTTAAGCTTCAATTAATCAGAAAAAAAGAGAATTATAAACTCTGATAATGCGTGAACAGACAGGATTAAACAGCTCAGAAAGGATCATTAGAACAAAGACTTGTGAAATAATCTGCACATCTAGGAGTACAAATGAATTGCATACTTTGTTCATGGTGTCCACTGTGACGGCGTGGGTCCAAAAACAGTCGTGAACTGAGACGAACGCCAGGCCAGCACTAAGAGGATAAGAGTGAGAACACGGATGATCAGAGTCTGCATGCAGGGGTTTACTTAAGAGGGAGAACATGAGGAGGAATAGAGTCATTAAAAAGAAGAAGACTGTATTACAGGCTAAAACCCTGCTATGTTCATTTAAAGCCAGCGTGAGTTGAGTTATCACACCTTTCAAGAGGCGCACAGCGTATTATTTATAAAGCTATATCATACACTTATCTGAGGTGATAATTGCATTCCAGATGAGACGGTACATTTTCTAAGCCATTTAAGGTCAAGCATATTTTTAAGTCAATGTCAAAAGCAAATTAGAGACTGCCTATAGAAAACGGACTAAAAAGAATAGGCCAAAAGGTGTACCAGATATCCATGCTCTAAGAACAGTTTGTTAAAGGGGCTGTATTTAGGGTTGGGGGTTTTCCCTTTCCTGTAGTGTTATATAGGTTTGTGTGCATGTAAATGGTCTGCAAAGGCTAAAATCCCAAAGTTCCCTCCAGAAGGAGTTTATCTTCCACTCATCCCCCCCTCGTCTGAAACGCCTCCATTGGACTTGTTTGTTTACTTCTTTAACATAATGACAATACTATTTAACACTCGCGTTTCTATTGGCTAGCGCTCCAACACATTGAACTTGATAAGCTAAGGGGCGGGACATCTCTATGCCGTTGACCAATCACAACAGAGCCGGCCAGCTAACCTGTATCAGAGCAGACTGGGCTCTGGTTTCAGACAGAGGGTGAAAAGAGGTGCCGCAGCACAGTCAGTATGAGAAAAATAAAGAACTTTTTAAACATTAAAGAATGGAGACATGTCAAAGTGGAGGCACAAAATACAAATATGATCCTGAAAATGAGTATAATAGGGCGCCTTTAAATGATACCTGTAGCAGTGGAGAGAAGTCAGCATCATGTGTGTGGAGTCCAGAGAGTGGATGAAGTTTGGAGGGAAGGCATTCTTCTGTTTAACTGTGTGTGGCATCCTAAGAGGAAAAAGAAAGCAAAGCAAAGACATATAAAACACTCTGCGGCTTTGTACTATAAAATGAGATGTTTCAGCAAACCTATCCCAAGTCTGAAGCAGCCTTGCCATGAACCTTGCCGATAATTCCCAGGGGAGACAGTTAGCTATCCTATTCTGATTCCTCTTTTTAAGGCTGTGCAGTATTTGCTCTTAACCCTTGTATGGTGTTCGGGTCTGTGGGACCCGTTTTCATTATTTAGCTAAAGAAAAATGATATGATCAATTATTTTTTCAAACCCAGACTCAATGGCCTTGGCTCATTTTCTGTGAAGAACATATATCAGAACACATTTTCAATGACTACCCACTGGACACCCCCCCCTACACATTTACATTACATACAGGATGTTCGGGTCCCGGGGCTAACAAAAGTGTGGAAATGGTAGGTCCTGTGCACCTGTCTGGGCCTTGTGTGTGTGTGTGTGTGTGTGTGTGTGTGTGTGTGTGTGTGTGTGTGTGTGTGTGTGTGTGTGTGTGTGTGTGTGTGTGTGTGTGTGTGTGTGTGTCTGCCCCTGCCATTCCCGCACAAAGTTGCAACATTGTTGATAAATTCGAGCAACACCTGTCTGCTCTCACATTCCCGTATTATGTTTTGCGGGAACCAACCTTTTTTTTTTCACTTTCTATCCAAGCTGCAAATTTGGTGCGGGACACAATAAATAAAGCTTCGCCAGTTTGGTTCCTTATCACAACTGATCAAGATGGCCAAAAGATTCACTAAAAACTAATTAAACACTCTTTTAGTCAAAGCAGTATTTTATTTGCAGTACACTATATTCAAGTTATTATTATGACGCAAATGTGCTTTCATTGAGTGGGAAGGTCTCATCAAACATTATGTGATGCATTCCTGAATATAAATTGAATTTGTGGATCGACAAGAGGGATTTAAATCAAATCCTTCATATGTGGTTGAAACCTTCAAAGTGGTTGAGGCGTGGCTAAGCTAACTGTCTATCTAACTCACTGCTAAACAGGAAAAATGTTGAATGTGTTTTTGAGTTGTTTGTCAAGGTCAGCTGCTTACATGGTAAGTCTTACTAACAGATAAGCAGGTGTAATGAATACATTATTGGCTGCATTATTGATAATATTCATCCCCCCAGTGCTTTTCCATGTAATGTCAGCCTGCTGTGAAGAGGTCTGTTTGAGTGCATGATTTCAGCACCAAGATGTATTTTCTGCTATGTGACCTCCAGGGGAATCTGTGGCTCTGTGCTTTCTCAACAATAGTAAAAAAGAGAGCATACAAATATAGAAGTGATATAAAAGAAAAAGTACAAGGTGATACAAATGCAGTGCTGCTACTCCTGATGATGGAACTGGCAGTTAAAAAAAAGCATCCTGCCAATCTGTATCCCCATGTTCCCATTACCCTGAGCCTGTGCCATTCAAATCCTCTGGGCTGCCGCAGAGCAGAACGCTCCTCTAATGGGAATGGAGACAGAGCGGAGAGTGCCTGGGCCCCACACACACACACACACACACACACACACACACACACACACACACACACACACACACACACACACACACACACACACACACACACACACACACACACACACACACACACACACACACACACACACACACCACACACACACACACACACACACACCTGGGATAACACACACACACACACACACACACACACACACACACACACACACACACACACACACACACACACACACACACACACACACACACACACACACACACACACACACACACACACACACACACACACACACACACACACACACACACACACACACACACACACACACACACACACACACACACACAGCTGTTTTGGACTTGGGCTGGATGGAGGATAAGTAAGAAAGCGAGGTCTTGAAGGCTGTCAATGCTCTATTTGGGACTTTATTTACATATTTACAGTAGATGCTGGACATGCTTTTTTTGGATCTTTAATTACAGCCAGTGCAGAAGAGTGTGGAGGGAAATGCCGAGGAAAATCAGCCATGGTGATTGTGTCAAGTTTAGCTCAGAACGCTGATGCTTCCTCTGACAGGGAAATCTAAAGTTTCACGAGACAGCCTTTCTGCGCGACAACCTGCCCTCTCTCTGCTGCCTCTTAACTTCCTCTCCTTTCACCCCTCCCTCTGTTCCGGCTGCTTTTTAAGGATTCACACTGCTGGATGTGTAGAGCACTGTAGATGTCAGATTGAGGACAGCTGCCAGTCATCTCTGTCATAAGTGATCTCACTCCAGTCTTCCCTCGACACACTGTTGATGTCTCTCTGTGTCCTCTGCTCACCTCTTTTGCTGTTCATCTTTTGAAATCCATACATTTTTATCAAGCCCTCCCACCATTGAGAATAAATGGCTGACTGCCACTCAGTGAATCACAGGTGCAAAAATAACCTGTTTAACAATTTAACGTAACATGTTCTTTTCAGAGTCAAACATTTGTAGGGGTTAAAATCATACACATGGACATTGTAATATGTGGAATGAAGTGTTTTACTGCTAGTCTAAATGTATTTATACTACCACTACAGAATATTACTTTATTTAAACCAAATTTTCAACAAATGATTCTCATTATAAAAACATTTTCTCATTTAGATTCCATTTAGACCATTTTTCATGTGTATTTTGCTGCTGACTTTCTCGCATAATCCCCCCTTCAAAATAGATTTTGGTTGTCATATTATTTTTTGGTATTTTTTATCTATAAATGAAGCATCTGGTGAAAAGAGTTTGAACTAATTTCTGTTTGTGAAAGACCCATTTCAACTTATTTGATCTGAAGCTGTTAGTGTTGAGCAATGCTTTCAAAAGAGTTTGAAACACTTCTGATGCCTTTTCCTACTTTATGACAAATGCAAAGTTACATCGGAGTAGGCAATTCATGGAAATATCCACAGGAGACAGAGCTATTGTGCAGCAGAAGGTCTTGAAAGTGTAAGCGAATTGCCTCCAGAGAACTCTACTTTCTGCTCCCATTCACCTCTAAAAGCTAAATGGTGATATCTCCAGCAGTCTGAAGCTACATTTGAAAGCTTGCGACTGCAAACTCACAAAAGGTTCAGACAGAATGGCCTGCAAACATGGTTTCTTTCATCAGATATTTTCTGTCTTTGTTTCTGGTCACTGATTTGACACTTCAGCACAAAATGTCAATGAGCACCATGAGTGAATAAAGTGGTAACATTACATCTGCTGTGGGTCAGGTTCAGTATGAGAGTGGAAAAACCAGACAGATGTTAGTTACAGGAAGACTTACTGCTTGTTGTCACATTTGATCTGGAGGTTGATACTTTGGAGGGGATTCGTTAACTGCGGGCAAAACAAAGACAAAAAAATGAAGGGGTTAATAATCTCAAGTCAACTCAATACTCAAAGTCAATATCACATTGTTCCATTTCAATTCAAAGATGTTCAAGACATTGCAATTACTTAGATCTATTTGTACTGTAAATAATCAAACTGTGTAAGTACTGTTAGTTACTGATCAAAGCAAGATTTACCCAAGTCTTCCTAATTAATAACAGGCTCCCACGTGGATACACATGCATTCATTTCTTTTTATGTAGGTCAAATATATTGAAATGCATCATAAACAAGCAACACAAAGAAATACATTAATTCACATTAGGCAAAATGGGGTCTTTTTCATGTGGTGTTTACATGTTTGTGTTTTCGTAGGGTAGTTTTTGGTTTGCTTTATACTACCATTAAATGGCTGTAAACTAAATGTGTTGCTGGATGGGGTCTTAGAATTCAACTTCTTTTATCTCAATAACACAAACAACTACTTCAGATATGAGCTCAGGAGACCTCAAAAGTACCACAGCCGTTCTGACACCCTTAGGAGTCTTTAATAAGTGTGTGTTTGGTGCTAATGTCCTGCTCTTTTATTTGATCTTGCTTGCTTCTGAACACTGAAATCACAGGCCCTTTGAAGTGCACATCCCTCTGCAATATGAACCGTTCCCCAATCTGCTTTGTACTCTTTCTAAGTCTATAATGTCCTCCTGCAAAAGCTGAAAACCAGAACTTTTCAAGTGTGATGATCTCCTGAGTGCTGTAAAGTTTTTAGGAGGACTGCAATATCTTGTTGACCCTAATTGGGAGGTGTTCCCACATGGTTAAAGGAAATAAATAAAAAGCTCCCAAGAGAAGAATTACATTGTGCTGTGTCATGATTGTGGTGAAGTCACTTCAGTTACCATTGACTATACATGCTGTGTTGGGTATTGGGACATTACAACTGTAATTTCACCTTTATCCTTTATCAAATTAGAGCCACAATTAGTAGACTTCTATTGGCTACTTACAGCACCACTCATTAACAGGGCTCCAACCATTTCGGATGTGGTACACAGACATACTAGTGTGCACTCTAGATGAGCTAATGAGTGATAAATGTAAAAGTTAGCTGTGAATTAAATTATGTCTCCAGTGATTCAACCATGAATATCAGGAAAAAGAGTGTGATTGCAAGTTTTACATGCAATATTTGTTGAGTCTGGTGGACCAACCAACAGACGGACTGACATTTCCATACTTCAAGTCCCACACCGCTAGCTGTACTGTATGAAACTAGTAATAGAGTATGGTAAGAAATGTAACCATATTCATTTAATTTTCGACATCATCTACTTCTCCAAGTAGTAAACACGGTGGAGGAGGTGCTTTGTTAAAATTAGGCTGAAATTATTTTTCCGGTAATTAATATTTCTATGACAGCCTTAAAGTAAAAATAAAATATTAAAATTACTACCAGATATGTATTCATCATGGGTGATTGTGGCTCAGGGAGGACAAGCGCCTACCAATGAGAAGGTTGTTGGTTGGATTCCCAGCCAACAATAGACCTGTGGAATCATCCTTGGGCAAGACACTTAACCAAATGAAATTGCTCCCGTAGGAATGTCTACGGTATTGAAAAGCGATATTTTACACACACACACACACACACACACACACACACACACACACACACACACACACACACACACACACACACACACACACACACACACACACACACACACACACACACACACACACACACACACACACACACACACAACACACACACACACACACACACACACACACACACACACACACACACACACACACACACACACACACACACACACACACACACACACCACACACACCACCACACACACACACACACACACACACACACACCACACACACACACACACACACACACACACACACACCACACACACACACACACACACACACACACACACACACACACACACACACCTCTAGGACAGGGGTCTGCGACCATTTTGACCAAAAGAGCCATTTTGCCTCCTTTTCCACCAATCTTTTTTTGTCTGGAGCCGCAAAACATATTTGATAGCTTGATAGCTTATAAAGTTGTATATATTGTCATATATATATACATATATGTCATCATAGACAAAAACTACATTATTTTGCATTTATTACGTTATAGAAAACTGTTTACCTCTAATAATAAACAAATAACTCTTATAAAGGAGAATAAAAAAAAATACACAGGCCTACTTTAAAATAAATTAACACAGCACTTGGGGAGTCCTCTGCACATTTGAAGAAAATGAATATAATTTAAATTGACCCACTTTGAAATAAACAAAACATATAGCTGCACCCTAAAAATAGTTTACTGATTGAATTATGACTGAAGATCGTCAGCTGTCTTCCTCTTACGTGTTTTTCCTCCAATACGTAAAGGCTGCAGCACCTTTAACAACTTCTCTCCACATATCAAACATATCGGTAAACCAGCATTGTTTGCTGTGAAAGCATAACTCTCTCCACGCAGAATTAATCCCTCTGTGTTCCTCCGATACTTTTATTTTCTTTGATGTATCCATAGTTCGCTCATCGAGCCGGGGGTCAGGTTATTCGCCTGCAAGAAAAGGCGCTGGTGCGAGACCGTAGCAGGATGTGATGCATATTTTAGTTGACCTAATTAAAACAGTTTGAAAAAAAAATGTATGTGTCACAGTATCACCTCAAAATACAAGATACGAAACATTTTCAACCGTGCAACAAAATATAAATAGTCCTACAAATATTTTTATTTTATTTCCTTCTTATTTTTGTCTAAGCTCAAGGGAGCCAGAGTAGAGGGCTTAAAGAGCCGCATGCGGCTCGAGAGGCGCGGGTTGCCGACCCCTGCTCTAGGAGGTCTTGTGGGGGGGGGGGATCTGTCCATCATCCCCCCCTTTTTTCTATCCTCTCTGTGTGTTAAGGAAGAAGAAAAGGCGAAGCTGTGACGCAAAAAGGTGTAAAAGTGAAAGAGATAGAGGTTACGTTTGATGTGAGTAATGGACTGCCGCACTGTAGATGAGGTCACTACCTTACCCTGGTTCATTATAATGCATACGTGCATGATTTGTGTAACAGACCTGACTCAAACCCTGGGGCTGTGATAAATGAGACCTTGGTTAATCCTGCTGTGTGTCTGTGGGGAATAGGCTCCTCTAAATCACATGAGAGTCAAAGCACAGATGGTCATGGTTACAACAGTCATCACTAAGCCATGCTGCCAAGAGGGGAATCCCCATACATCACACAGTGGTTCAAAACACACGTCTCATCCATTCAGGTGGAGTAATTCTTCGTTACACCTCACTTCCCTGCTGTTCCGGGTCACCTGGTCCTCTCCCTCGCCTTCATCCCCTGAAGACAGCTGCAGACTCATTGTCACACACACCACTGAGTCTCGCCACACCTCCACTGACCTTTTCCAGACATCCTTTCTACCACACTTTTTGTGTCTCTCTCTTCCACTCTGGGGTGTCCTTGAAACTCAGACTGCATTCATTATTTCACCTGAAAATGCCACGAGATTCTGCGAGATCAACGAAACACTGTGTGACCCCTCGGAACCGCTCGCTTCTCATCCATGACAAGAGAAGACATGGAGGGCATCCCGCGACATTTAGGGAAACGTATCCCCAGAATTAGAAAAGAGGACACACTCCGATTATAGAGTCTCAGAGAATGTTTCCAAATCTGCAGTCATTTTGCTTCCATACAAAGGAAAGGCAGACTAGACAGACACTGCATACGACACAAACTATCAGAAAACTCCCACAAAAAGCTTCTAAATGTGTCTTTTGATATTGGTGTATTGCTCCTATGTAGAATGGGGCCTGTCTGTGCACAGGAGGCTCATGGTCTCATAGTCTGTACATGATGTTTAACATTTTTCATTCATTCCAGAGGCTCATACAACATTATACTAATCTATTGATTGATGATGACAGTGGACTTTTTAGTATTGCTTTTTGAACTGTATTCAAAATAAATTTGCACAATGCTTTAACGTCCAGGGAAATAACCAAATCCTCTCTTTCCACACAGAGGACACCCAGCTTTTAGTCACACTATACACTCACAAATCCAGCCAATCCAGCTGAGAGCACCCTCGTGTCTCCATCCCCTGACAGTGAGATTTCATTGTAACCTTGCATGAGTGGAAAATGAAAACTAAAGGAGGAATCTGAGCCAGAGTGACCTCTGATTCGATTAGTGTCTCTCAATCCCGTTAAGCAGCCTCCCTGATGTATGTTCATGTGTTTGTGCTCCATTCAGCTACTCCATCGACTCTAATTTCCTCACCTCCCATCAGCCATGGAAACTACTCGATTACACTGCTCTGCATTTGTACTCAACAAACATACTGCACACACACACTCCTTTGTGAATGGATGCTATTGTAGCTCGTTCTCTTCACAGCATCACACTTCATCTTCCTGTTCTATCTAGAGTCTAATTATTAACGACCCCCAAAAAACACTGCAGCCTCGGATTTAAGAGGCAGAGAGGAGATTGAATTGAATCCAGCCATGACTGGAAAGGTGACCTTTCTGCAAGTTTCATTTCTGGTGCTCAATGATGCAGCTGGATTAAAGAATGAATGCAGGGGATGAAAAAAGTTATCTCTGAAATAAGACCTTGTTGGTCCATGAAGTCGTCGCTTCATTCATTTATTCATCTTTAGGCCTTGGAAAAAACTCACAGGCTAATCAGCTTCCTTTTCCCTGCTGGACATTAAAAGAAACAGATCCAATCAAAGTTCTACTTCATGGACAGAGAGAGATGCAGCCCCAGGGCACCCACCATCTGTCACCCTTGCTCTCTTGCACTATCTGATGAGGTGTCAATCCCCCTCTAAGCCACCTTCTGCTTCATGTCATGCTAAAAGAGCAGGTGGCATGTGGAGCCAGCCTATGAGCTAGCTGTCTGCATGAGCTTTGTTTACGCTGTGTCTGTTTCCTCCTTTCACTTAGGCCCCGGCTCCACGGGAACGCATACGGCAAAACGCATCGGAGTAACGCAAACGCAACCGCAAAAAACCTTCCGCCCACACGCAATATACACCGGATTGTGTCAAGCTACACGAGACGGCTCCGTTTAGATCCAACCGCTGGAAAAGCTGCAGTACATATGCCGAACCTGTACGTGGCGCTGTAACTTCCTCCACAAAAGCAGCAACTTCCTCCACAAAAGCAGCGAAGAAGAATGGTTGTCATGGCTGCACTTCTGTTTATTCTCCGCGGTGGGGGCCGACGGAACCGGGCAGAGTTTTTCGCCGGTCAACGTGTGTTAAAGTTTAAATCTTCCGGACAAAATTATAAAAGTGCCGGTCAAAGGTCTTCTTTGTTATTTATTGAGCTTTAAAACAAATGAATAACGACGATATAATGATATATAATCATAAAATACACGGAGCCTGTCTCTTTTTCCTCTCTTCTGACAGCGTCAGTGTCTGTCTCATGCAGCAGCTGATCCTGTAATGAGTGACCCGACAGTAAAAATAAACATATTTATAACTAGTTTAGGTAGTTTGAGAGGTAATTAAAATAGCTAAGGGTGATGATCTGACTTGAAGTGTGTGTTTTGCTCCCGCTGCATCACAGCCGGAGGAGCTGCGTGTCTCCGTCCTGTCAGATTAGACTTCACTCGAGTTTATGTCCATATCGAGATAAAGATAAATAATCTGAATTCAGTGTGCAGTGTACTTTTGCGGGGGTGAGCAGCAGAGGCGGGGAGAGGCGGGGCTATTGCGTCGTCATTATCAGAAACGGATGACCGTATAGGCGACCACACGGCCCCGTTGGACCCCCCAGAGCGCTCCGTTCCCAGATCTATCCACCTTTGGACCCGTTGTCGTTTGCAGGGTCCGTTTCTACGGTTCCGTTACGGCGTCGTCGAGCTTAAAGGGCTATACGCAAGAGAAATATGTGGATTCAACCCGTTTTCGTTCCCGTGGAGCCTAGGCCTTAGTTAATGGACTTTAGGATAAGGAGGTCAAATAGGATTTTATATAATGACAGACTTATGTAGGATTTCTCTTTACACATACACAAGCACCGGTGTTTAAATGGGAGAAATACTTTATGTTAAGGGCGTAGGCTTGGGTAATTTCTTGTTTCTCTCTTATTTGTTTAAATATTTCTTTAATAATGTGTGCTTGCCTTTTTCTTTAATTGATATGTCTAGTCACTTTCTTTATGCCTGTAGTCTGCACTGTTTCTTTGCTGCAGTGAAGCTGTACCTTTGCCCACTGCAGGACAAATGAAGGATTCTGATAATATAAACGTATTTTTGATGTTTTATGCACAAGTCTATTGACGGGACTGTTCCCGATTGAAATAGACTACTTTTCAACCAAACAACAATCAACATGCCTTTGATGATATAATTCTTTATATAGCCTTCCTATCAATTGTTTTGAGGCTCCATAATAAACACAGATAATGTTTGACTGGAATTCCTCCCTTCTCTATGGGACATGAACATTTCTCCGTATCTGTATCTGTACTCAGACGTGCTATCTTTAAGACATGCTGCTGTCAGGACTTCCACAGTGACGGAGAACTTTAGTGATGTTTTTGAGCTCCTTCAAAGTTGGCCCACTCACAGCAATCACATCACACCATCAGTGGTGAAAGCCCAGCATCCAGGACAATACTCATGATAAGGTGCATGTCTTGCGTATAATAAGAGTGAAACAAAAATTATTTTAGGAAGTTTGGAAAAAGAAAATGAAAAGACACTGAGGGAGGGCAATAAAGAGAGTGGACTATTCTTCTGAACTAAAAGAGCAAACACCAACAACACTTTGTGAATAATTTTTGTTTTAGCCAAAAATAGTTTTGAGTCCAACACAAAGGGAGAGGACACACTAAAATAAAAGCCAAACTGCAGTGAGTCTCGCAGGCTCACTTTTTGCTTTGAGGTATTAGTCTGGAAAATAAATGCACGGAGCCCTGGCAGGCTGCCATTCTGTCAAAGAGCTACAACCAAATGAGTAATTCTTTCTAGATATCCTAAACAATGTACAGAGTCCAGTGGATCCAGTACTGTTAACGTGTGTGCCGTGAAGAGCACTTCAAAATGCACACTTGCAGTTCCCTTCATTTAAGCAAATGCATGTTGGGCCTTGCCAGACCATAATAAGTGAAGCCTTTGTGGGCAGGCTGTGTGAGCATGATAGATTGCTCTCATAACAGCTTGTTATAAGATGACAGCTATAAAAATAACCACTAATACTCATTTGAATCATATATGTGTGTAAGCATGAATTTAAAGTCAACCAACCGCATCACAGCTAACCGGCCATTTATTATCAGCTTCATCAGAAATTCCATCAAAGCCCAATGAAATCTAGTAAGTGGAAATTAAACTCTGAAATCATGATAATAGCGAAAGTGATGATCCATAGCATCTCACTGCCTCATGGAAATATGAGAACAAAAAGAGAACGAGCGGTCAATTTGGACACACATTACAATATCAGCAATAAGATGGTGGTCAGTAAGCCAACAGAGGGATAAATGAGTACTGTATGCTAAGGTGAGTCAAACACATGGATACAACGTGTGCTATATAAGGTCAGTTTTGCGAGTGGTGTGAAAGGTGAGAGCAAAAGTAAGGAAGAGCAAAACACAAGGTGTCAAAAGATAACGATAAAAGAGAATACATAAAGTATAAAATGCAGAGAAATAAAGACTGGCCTGTAATTGGCAAAACTGTCTGACTTACGGTGTATGAAACGATGGTGAACGGCGCCGTCTGAGGGTTTAAAGTGGTCGAACTGATCAGGAAAAGTCCACTTGTTTCTAGATTGGACTCCCAATCAAACATGACCCGACATGTCCCGGCATGAGACTCTGTAACACCTCTGCTGCACTAGTTGCTTTATTCTATATTTATTTAGTTTCCATTTTTTTTTTTATATACTTTCTGTATTATTATTATTAGTCTTGCATGACGTACCATTGTTAATATTTCCTAGTGCAATATTATATTTATTTTCGATGTAATGTGCACGTTTGGACTTGACGCCCTGCTACACTTGGCATCTGTTCTAATTCCAATTGTACAAACGTAGCTAGATATAGCAGAGATGTGTGTGATTAATAAAAAAAGTACGACAACTTCTCTGAGAAAAACTAGTAAAGAGCATCTTCATAATCCTTCGTAAGAGACCTACCACTTGGCGGCGTATGAGGTGGTAGGGCTGAATGACGGGTAATCCCAGGGGAGTCACCCACTGCACAGAGTGGCCAGCCTTGGAGATGAGCTTGGCGCTCTCGGCCAGCCAGTCCTGCAACACACAGATGCAAGCAGAGGTAAATTGAGGGCACACACTGGATTGTGAAACATACTCAGAAAATCAAAGCCCGCCAGCAATCAAGAGTGTGAGCCTGTCTATTTCCTGTGTAAGTGTGTTCATGTGGACAACAGAGCAATCGGGTTCAAATCAGTGAGTCTGGACCGTTTGTAGGTGGATGTAATTAATCGGGCTTTAAAAATAAAGAACATCATGGTGCATTTGGAACAGCATTGAGAAAACACAGCATAAAAGATTCATAATGTCTGCTGTTCTACTTCTTGAAACAGCAAACAATTGTTGCAAACTTGCAGAGGAACAAGTGAGAAGTTGTTGCTAAGCTTGACAAATATCCGTACGTTTTGCACAAGTGTCTGGCAAAGTTTATCTCCAGGAATAGAAGCCCTATTAATGCCCCAAAAGTGCCTCCTCACACATGCAGGCACATGGAGAGCTGTAGGAAAGATATATTTGTCCTAACAACTCGAGATAGCAGTCTGGCCCAAAGCCGCACCATTCATCATCACCTCTCTCCTTTTATTCTCAGGTACATCGAAAAGAAGATAGTGTGGAAGCAAAGAGATGGGAGAGCGAGATTAGATGGTGAGGAAGCCGGAGAGATTGACTGATCAGTCAGTAATAGATTGATAAGCAGCAGAGGGAGGGAGGGAGGGAGGGAGTGGACAGACACAGTTGGAAGGAGAATAAATGGAAAACAAACAGGGGAGGAGGGGTCAGGGATGACAGAGCTGCTTCTCTTTCACTCATACTCAACTCATTGCTGAAAACCCAGAGGATGTGACCTGTTTGAAAGCAACAGGTGCACACACTCACTCAGACACTCACACACACACAACAGCATTAGGTCGGCACCAAGGCATGATGGGAAGGGTATTTTTCATCTCAGACTGGGCCATCCCCACTCATTTCCCAGAGGACACAAACATGGTCGTGGGTGGTGTTTCTATTTGCTTGCCAGACTCCTCTCTGCCTCTGGACATAATATAGTATCCCCCGCCAGGTGCACGTCCTAAATCTATAAAAAGAGTCTCTGTGATGAATGGCTGCAGTAGTCACGGTAGTGGTAAAGTAAACTAGACATTATTAGAGAATGAAAAATCATCTTATATAGAGTAGTAGGTCAGTAGACAAAAGCTTTTATATTTAAGTCTTTCCAAAGAAGATACGTAGGGGAAAAACGTAATTTTGTTTTAATTACAGGGAACATAGGAATTATCTTTTGTTATTTTTATGATCCTACAAAAATATTTCGTTAGATAATCTGGGTTTATACTGTACATGGCAATTGTTTGCAGACACATTTATTTGTTGTTAACCTCATTTCATTTTTATTGTATTAGTTGAAACTTTATTCTTCATCTTGAACCTTTTATTTATCAGTCAACCAATTTTCGCATTTTTAGCTGATCTGATGCACATTAAAGTCTCTAGGTTCCACAGACAACATTATTGGATTGGAAGTGTCTTAGTCGACCATTGTCTTTATTTTACCCATAATAATACATTACAAATGATCAGGCATCATGACATAAACTTTAATTATATTACCTAATGGTTATTACTTTAAAGGTCCCCTATTATACTGTTTTTCATCAATATATTATAGGTCTCAGATATATAAAAAAACATGTCTCTGAAGTAGGGATGTAATACATCGATACCCAAAACTCACGGTACGATAATATCGCGATAAAAAGTCCACGGTACGATATTTATCGTGATATTGAAAAATAAAGAAGAAAAAGAATTGTGAAATCTTTTTTTCTTTGAATTTTTTTTTCTTTATTGAATAATAAATCTGATTTGTACAGCATTTTAGTCGTATTTTAAAGTGTCAACAATATAATAATCAGACCCTGCAATAAAATAAATCAAGTTTCACTTTAGTTTTTCAAGTAACTCAACTCAAACTCACTAACTCACTCACTCAGCATCATCAGACAGGTTTTTAGGAATATGAGCATGCCCACATTTCCAGGTAGAAGCTGGGATGTTTACAATACCCCCTGCTGTGGAAAAGACTATCTTGCTTGGTACTGATGTTGCTGGGACAGAGAGATATGCTTTGTCCATGGGTGACAGCAGTGGGTAAAACTGTGCATTGTCTCTCCACCACTTCAAAAACAATACAGTTTTTGCCAAGAAGGTGAGGCTTATTGACAGGGCGAGATATACATATACTGTTGGTACTTGTCAATGTCTCTAGGTATGTAAACGTAGCCCTGTAAATACGATGTCCTTTTGTGTTATCTGTTGTTTTATGTTTATGTTGTAACCTACTTGCTGCCATGTTGGACAGGTCTCTCTTGAAAAAGAGATCGATGATCTCAATGGGATAGTGTTGTCAAAATACCAACATTTTGGTTTCGATACCGATACCAAGTCAAGAATTGCGATTCCGATTATTTTTCTATACCTTTCTTTTATTATTTTCATGATCAATAAAATTGTAGTTTATTTGTTAAGTGTTTTCTTACAACATGGTCTCTTCTTTATACTTGAGTTTATGTGATTTCTTTGATAGTTAACTTTATATTTTATTAACATGTAATAGTACAGTAATATAAATAATTATTGACAAAATGTACATTGCAGATGTTAGCCACATTGGTAAGTTAGCTAAAAAGATAGCCATATTAGACAGTTATCATTGCCATTAATTGCTCTGGATGCCGGTCGGCGAGGTGCTTAGCCAAGTTTGATGTGTTGGCTCCCTTGGTTTGCAGGGATCTAAAACATTTCTTACAGACAGGCCTCGTGGTGTCCGTAGGCTTGACCTCACTGTCAGAGATATAGCTCAAATACTTCCAAATTTCGCTTCTGGCGTCTTTTTTGTCAACAAGCCGAGGCGCAGCGGCAGTTGCACTCCCACTTGCAGCCATGCTTCTCGTTTTCTCACATGCTCTGGCAGCTAGCGCGTGCATGAGAGAGGGGAGGCACTTAGGCTTCCTTTACACGGGAACGTTTGCGTTTATGCACAGTATGCGTTTTTTTAAAAAGTCTTCCGTTCACACGCATTCGTTTAATTTAACGTGTCTGTTCACACGAGACCGCTGGAAACGCTGTAGTACATATGCCGGGCCTGTAACTGGTGCTGTAACTTCCGCCACAAAATACACCAAAAGCAGCGAAGAAGACCCCGGAGCATGGTTGCCATGGTTGCCCTTCTGTTTATGCCCCGCGGTGGATTTAGCAACATGTAGTAGTTCATGTAATTCTCCATGTCCACTTGTTGCTGATGGTTGTGGTAGAGGAGCTGTAGATTTTGCACTAACATCTGTAGCATGGTCGAGCTGTAGATGTTGTACTAACATCTGTAGCATGGTCAGTAGCAGTAGCACTAGCAGTAGCTACTGACCATGCTACAGCAGTGAGCAGCAGAGGTGGGGAGAGGCGGGGCTATGGCTTCATCTATCGAGAAATGATCGTATAGAGGCGATTACACGGAGCCGTTTGACCCCCCAGAGCGTTTCGTTTGCAGATCTATCCACTTTGGGACCCGTTATCGTTTGTGGGGTCCGTTTCTATCGTTTTGTTACGGCCTCGTGTAAATGAAAGGGCTATACGCAAGAGAAACTATGCGGATACAACCCGTTTCGTTCTTGTGTAAAGGGGGTCTTAGAGTGTGCTTGAGAGGGGAGGGACTGCAGGCACGGCTGCAGTGCAGGGAGTGGAAGCAGAGCGCTGAACACACACGGCTCTTAAAACAGCGCTTTCTCACCGGAGTACTTTTCCCCGTCATTCTTAAAGTACCGATACTAATGAAACGGAGGAATCGTAACGTTTTTAACGGCAGGGTATCGCGGTACCTTTCAAGTATCTGTACACCGTGCAACACTACAATGGGACCACCTGGTTAAATAAAGGTTTAAAAAAAAAAATGTGTTTAAAAATGTTCTTTATCATTTTAAAAAAAATTTTTTTAATTGCGGTCGATTTTGTCAGTCTCACGACGGTATTGAGACATTTATTTACCGCGATATCGCGATATTCGATATATCGTTACATCCCTACTCTGAAGTGTTTGCCACAAAATACCAAACAGATCATTGCAGCATCCCATAATCCCCTCTGTTTCAGCCCTGTTTCAAAAGTGCTGATTCTCTGTCTGTTACTTTAGATGAAAATAAGGTGCTTGCCCCACGGGAACGCATACAGCCGTTTGCCTAACTGTTTAGTGTCATATAGACCGTTCTGCCACACTAGGACGACCGAAAATGGCAGTAAACAACGATAACGGGTCCCAAGGTGGATAGAACGGCATACGCAACGCTCTGGGGGGGTCCAACGGCTCCGTGTGTAGGACCTATACCAGGCATCCTCAAAGTCCGGACTCCACAGAACCACAACTGTCTCTGGACTCTGAGCAAATTATACTTTTCATATGTATTATCTGTATTATCTGTGTTATCTGCGAGACATCGCCACAACGCAACGAGTCAAAATTCTCCGCTATGTCCACTGCAAACAGTGCTCTGCATCTCCGACTGTTCCACTGTCTGTGTGTGTCTGTCAACGCATTGGTCCAATCACATTCAGCATCCCATTAGCGTTTTTTCCCCCCACCAACAGTCTGCGAATCAGAGGCACAGTAGGGCGGGTCTTCGCGGAATGCGGGTGGGAAAAATGCGTGTGTCGTCTCTTTCAACCTGTCTGAGTCAGAGCGAGAGTTTAAAAAAAGAAAAAAGTCAGAGCAAGAGTTAACAGCTCATCTAGTTGCATCTGTACTGTAGCTAGTAGCCTAGTTTCACCTACCGGGGTGGCATGGTGTGGCAACTGCCACCCTAAAAATAGGCCTTGCCACCCCAGCTGCCACCCCAGTTGGCAGCTTTGTTTTGTAAGAAAAGTTGTGGCTCATCTGACATTTATGAGAGAAAGTCTCTAATGTCCGAGTGCAAGTGAATGCAGCACAAGATGCACGTCTTGTAACCCCTCCCCCGGCCCTGGCGCGAGCGTGGAAATATGATTGACCCAAGTACTGAAGGAATGAGGTATCTGCGGTCTACAATGACAGAGAAGAGACTGTCAAGTTTGGCTGTACTCAGCATTGAATCAAAACGCACTAAAGCTTTGGATCTTACTAATTTTGTGAGGCGTTTTGCTGAACAAAATGGTAATCGCCGCATTCAGCTGTAATAGGCATGTCAACTTGATGCTCTGCTCACGGATGAGCATACAACACTGTTAAGATGATGACCTTACGTGTGTAAATATATATTTTTCTTTGTGGGGGTCGGCCCCCAAAAAACAGTTTTAAGTCCTGAGAAAGTCAAATAAGACGGTGTGTAAAACTACACTGCCCAGCCAAAAAAAAGTAACCACTTTGATTTAACTAGGCCAGTAGGTAAGGACATTCCACTGGATAATAACTGAAGTATAAAATAATGCAGGACTGAAGTGATGGAGACCTTGTTTGAAGGCAAACAAAAAGAGGAAATAACAGGTCAAATCAAGCAAATCCCCCTCTCAGATTCCACAGCAACCAGAAGAACATAAATACTGGCTGGTGATTTGATTAATCAGCTTTGTGATGGAATAAAAAATGCACAGTGCATTTCCTTAGCTGTGGATGAGTCCACTGACACCACTGACAATGCTCAGTTGCTGGTGTTTGTGAGTTTTTATGATGAGCCAAAGGGGGAGTTTGTTGAAATGGGAATGCTAAATGAAAGAGGGTGCAGCTGCCTTTATTCATAACTGTGCAGCTCTCACACTGCGACTCTGAGGGATCAAGCACAGACACAATAACAATGAAAGCGGCTGCATACAGATTATTTTTGTTTTTGCAACCTCGTGTTAAGAATCTTGTTGCAATTGTTTAAAAGTTTGAATGACCGTAATAAACGGACCTTTGTCTTATTGAAACATTTTTGGACCTTTAAGATTTGTATTTGAGTACCCCTGACCTATACGATCATTTTGTGATAATGATGACGCAATAGCCCTGCCTCCCCCCACCTCTGCTGCTCACCCCCGCAAAAGTAAACTGCACACTGAATTCAGATTATTTATCTTTCTCTCGATATGGACATAAACGCGAGTGAAGTCTAATCTGACAGGACGGAGACACGCAGCTGTGATGCAGCGGGAGGAGCAAAAACACACACTTCAAGTCAGATCATCACCCTTAGCTATTTTAATTACCTCTCAAACTACTACTGTCGGCCGGGTCACTCATTACTGGATCAGCTGCTGCATGAGACAGACACTGACGCTGTCAGAAGAGAGGAAAAAGAGAGGCCAGGCTCCGTGTTTTTTATTATTATATAGTCGTTATTCATTTGTTTTAAAGCTTAATAAATAACAAAGAAGACCTTTGACCGGCACTTTTATAATGTGGCCGGAAGATTTAAACTTTTACACACGTTGACCGGCGAAAAACTCTGCCCGGTTCCCTCGGCCCCCACCACGGTGAATAGACAGAAGGGCAACCATGACAACCATGCTTCTTCGCTGCTTTTGTGGAGGAAGTTACAGCGCCACGTACAGGCTCGGCATATGTACTGCAGCTTTTTCCAGCGGTTGGAGCTAAACGGAGCTGTCTCGTGTGAACAGACACTATCCGGTGTATATTGCGTGTGGACGGAAGCTTTTTTGCGATTGCGTTAATCCTATGCGTTTTGCCGTATGCGTTCCCGTGGGGCAAGCACCTAAGGAGCCACTCCCCACGCCCCTCTGAGAGATATTTGGTTAAAAAGAACACAATGGCGCTCTAGGAGGGGATTCAGGTGATAAGGTGGGGGGGGGGGGGTTACCTTGGTTGGTTATTGGCTAATGGTTACACAAGCCAACAAATCGTTATGACATCATAAAGTGGCCAAAATCTGATCAGCTCATTTTCAGACAGGTTTTTATATAAATGGATCAGGACAAAAAGAGAGCAAATCTTTTTTCCTGAAACTTTCAGAATCTCTTTACACAGAAGGGACACATGTTGATGTAGAAAAGACATGAAAAAGTGCATTTTGCATGAAAGGTCCCCTTTAAGGTGTTGGGACTTATTGCATGAGGGATATAGATTCTAGTAAAAATAAGAACAACTGTACTTTGAGACAATATTTCTACTGAATGTCAGCCCTGTTTTGCAACTAGTAAGAAACAAATGTGTTTTTTTAAATAGGTACGATAAACTCACCTGGATCTTTCTGGTCCCTGTGAACATCTCCTTCAAGCTGTCGAACACCAATCGCACCAGGTAACGAGATGCATACCATAAATGCTCCTGGAAAACAATACATGATTATGCTTTTGTATTTTTGTATATCACCTTCTCGCTCCACTCCATTCCTCATCAATACAAATGATTGTTTTCCCCATTTAGTTATTATTAGGTATAAAATGTATAATGCAAATATGTGGTAAAAGTTGCAGCACTGAATGAGCCTGGGACATTTCAGATATCATTACAGCGATACGATCTCTTCCTGGCTTACAGCTTCCTCCCCCCCCCCCCATCCATCCCCCTGTAATCACTCACAATTACACTTCCCTCCAATTCTGTGTTTAAACAATTAGGAACATTATGCAGGAGTCATTTAGCACAATCCTCTGGCTGTGAGATGGCAGATACACTGACAGCAGGATCATGCTGGTTTTATCTATACAGACAACCAGAATAACTCCAACTATTGTAAGGCAATATATGTAGCTATTTGACAAATAATAAGCATTACAGAGCCCTAGGAAGATTACATGCCTCCCTCTTTCCCTGCCATATAATCATTTGTTCCAGTCAAAGAACCGGTTATGTCCAATGAAATCAAAGTACAGTGGTTCTGAACTAAAAATAGATTTATAATGACTGTGCACAGGATATCGAATATAGCTGTTGTTGTATTACACTGCGGGCCTCCCTGATACAACCATGCAATATCTCATTCCACTGCAATAACCCATAAATAAACTTGCCTAATAGGAATAATAAAAGCTAATGTTCTTGCTCCACCAACAGCACACTTGGAGACAGGGTGCTAGGAGTCTTACGGCCCCTAAACACGGCGGTGTGCGTTGAAGCATGCCGGCGGGCTTGTCTGAAGCTCGACCAACAACCAATCACATGAATCTCCCGCCCCGGACACACAAGCACGCGGTTTGATTGGCTAGAGCTTGTACTGGCATATGATTCGATTGGCTGACGATTCGGTCGAAGCTTCAAAGGTAGAACATTGCTCTACTTTTGAAGCGAGCAACGCTTTGCTCCCACAATGCAGTTCGGCGAAGCGTGACGTCACCCCATTCAAAGTGAATGGGCAGAAGCGTGTGTAGGAGCCGTAAATGTCAAGGTCAAAGCTACTGAAATCATTTGCAGTCACTGTCAGCTGTGTGATAAATGCCTTCTTGGACATACAGGAGACAATGGAGTAATTACATTCAAGGAGGTTAGATCAGTTGTATTTCCTTGTGATTCAGTATGGGCTGAGTGTATGCATCTCTGAATGTGTAACCGGAGAGGAGACGTAGAAGGATATAGAGTAAATCTTTCACTAAAAGGCCACTCTGTCATCCCGCGCTGATACAACACTACAAATAAAACAGTATGCAGTGCGAGGGAAGCCCACATCTACCACATAACCGTACCTTGGGGAACTCAATGTCATTCAGTCTTTTCTCTATCTGTAAGCGGCCCCCGTATTGTGTGACCCCGTACACCACAGTCATCACGGTCTGCTTCACCACCTTCCTGCTGATGATGCCCTCCAGGAGGATGGCGATTTTCACCCCGCTCTTTGCATCCCGCACTCTAAACTCCTCCACCTGAAACACATGGACATGTTGGAGATAGTAACAGATGTGTTATTGGAGAATATTTAAATGCACAACTCCAAATACATATAGATCAGGGTAGAAGTAGTGATGTGCAATACAGCCAAACTCTTCTATCCAGATATTTCAGAATAGCTTGATATTGATTTATATCATGATTTGTTTGGTAAGTCAATTATTAAGTAGTATTTATCTAACAACCAGATCACAACAGAGCCGGCCAGCTAACCAATCAGAGCAGACTGGGCTCTGGTTTCAGACAGAGGGTGAAAAGAGGTGCTGCAACACAGGCAGTGTGAGAAAAATAAAGAGAATTTGAACATTAAAGCATGTAACAACGTCACAATAGAGGCACAAAATGTAAATATATATTTGTCATACTGAGTATTTTTTTATTTAATAAAAGGAACTTTAGTGATAATTTAACCGTTTCAAGTTGATTTGGAGCGAGAAATATATTTCTGTATAGCATATTTTGTTGATTGCATTGACTAGGTATTGAAAAGGTGGTTGGTTAGTTCACAAGCATGATATGATCTACAGTATCTTAGGTACAAATAAAACAGTTTGATAATGTCTGCCTGCATTGTCCTGCTCTCTTTTACATTCAGTCGTCCAGCTCACTGACAACCCAACAATGTACTTTGCAATTACAGTCACTGCTCTTTGATACAGCCGCAGACAGACCTTTTTCCCCAGCACACTCTGATTTTCCCAGTACTGAAATGTCACATAACAATTAGCTTCAATTATTCCAGCCTGAAAAGTATGCAGGTTCACAGCAGGCTGGGTTCTTTGATAGCATTGTCTGTGCACTTGCCCCCTTTGAGCTTTTGGATATGAGCGTCTACTCTCACTGCACTTTGATGCATGGCCTGAACAAATGAAGCACCTTTTTTTAGATGCTAGAACTGAAGTGAGAAACTTGAAATATATTCTCAATGTTTAAACTGTCACTAACTCATGGGAAACAGTAAGAGATTAACAGTTTAGCGGTGCAACTGGACCACAATTTGGTTACACTGTGCAACACCAAAGCCAACCAGTTCAAAAAGGTAACAAAAACCAAACCAAGCTGACCTGCTGTGCGACTCCACTGTACACATCCTGAGGCAGCTCACAGGGCGTGAGGTTGACTGATATTGCACCCATAACATCTCTGCCCAGAGCAGCGTAGTGCTGGAGACCATTACAGGAACCGTCCTGCAGGAGAAAAGGAGAGGGATTAAAGCGAGGATGTGGAGGAGGAGAGAACACAGACAGAAAAGGAATAATCAGCACACAATCAGAGCGGGCAGCACAGGGAGAAAAAGATAACGGGTACACAAAGGAATATGGATGTTAAAGAACAGCAAACATACTAAAAAGAGGAAACAGAAATGGGGACAGAAAGGGGAGGAAGGGCAATATGAAATACATGAGCATCAGCTAAATGGATGAGAACAAATATTTTGTTAAGGCTTTTAGTTCATACCATATTCACTCTGTCAAAGCCACAAAGTGAATTTTGCACTTACGCCAGACCATCAAACCGTCAATGAGCATTTTAAATGATCTGCACCATTCAAAGAAACATCTGAACTGGATTTGGCATCAGACTTGCGGTTAACAATTAACTGATGATATATTTGTTTATCATTTACACTAAATTAAAAGTCACTGGTGGTCAACGTTACAAAATTAAAAAGACACAACATGAATATTGCAAAAAAAAGTTAGCCACAATCCTGGCAGCTGCAGAAGTTATCTTACTTATTTTATGTCTGTCCTAATGTGACATTAACCTGAATGTCTCTCTACTTTGCCTAAAGTTCTGTAACTTCCATTAAAAGTCTCTCACACAAGTCTCCTTTGGCTTCTTAGATCCTTTCCTTTATTTATTAACTCATTATCTCAGTTCACATTAGTTAACATCAATGGGACAGACTCAGCTAAAAGGCTCATCTTTTCTACAGACCAAGAGCAGATTGATGATCAAAGCTGAGTGGAAACCATTAGATACAGATACAAGGAGGAGGTGCTAAATAAGTCTGGCCATATTGATTACACTGCATTTCATGTTAATATAGTTTATATTACGCTTTTCACTTTGTAGAAGTTTAAAGTCTGGAATCAGAAAGAATATTGACACTTTCTTTACTTGCATTTGTATTGGTTTGCTTTAAAAGGACTGGGTTCTGGTTTCAGACAGAGGGTGAAAAGAGGACTTTTTCGAACATTAATGCGTGTAAACATGTCACAGTAGAGACACTAAATACATATATGAGGGACTGCGGACGGAAATGAGCTTAAAGCTAAATCTGGCACTGTTACGCTTGATACATTTTAATGTTTTAAGTGTTCATTACTGTGCATTGTCCCTGCCAAATAAACGATTCAATAAATATATGAACCTAGCATAGTTGGGACCCTTTCATTGAGTTTGACATGCCAATGTTAGGTATGTCATTCAAAGGAATTATATACAATGTGTACATTCCTAAAATAAACATAAAGAGGTTTGTTTTTAAGTGCCAAATAAAAGGAACATTATAACACGATGTTGACTAAGGTCTTAGGGGCAGACAGTGTTGCTTTGCTCTAAAAAATAAAAGCTTGAGATAATGCTTAAACCTGTATATCACTGGACACCTGACATAAGTTTCCCCAGTAAGTGGGCTTAAAATAATAGTAAACATAAACACAACACTGGCACTTTGTGAGCAGTTGTCTGTTGCTTTTGTTTGTATCTGAGTACAGGATATCTGAGGCTGTGGTCTGTGCGGTGAGATTAGGGCTACAGGTTTACAACAGATACTATAAATGGCCCCAGATGGCAGGCGATGTTTTGCCTTGTTAACTTTGATGTGCCCTCTAAAACAGCACTATAAAGCATGACTGAATGATATCGAGGATAATCGCTTCTAATCATCTTATTTTATTTTGAAATCTTTGTTTCACCCAAGAGATGAATTTAATTTCTATTAAGCAGTTGAATGACTTATTAAATAACACATCAGTAGGAGATGGGACATGAGATTCAAACCGCTACACGACTCTGTAAACAGATAAATAATTAGTTCAGGTGTTTTATGGTACCTGGTGAACAGGAAAATGAGAGATGAACCGCGTTGGGTCGGGAGATCTCACAGCGTTGGCTATCTCCATGCAGCAGCCCAGAGCCTGCAAGGGCTCATCTGTATTCATCCACCACTTCTTACCCTGACAAAGACAAACACAAGCACATTATCCTGCATACATAAACACCACCGGGAAAAGCATTTTACTTTTTGTTTTGACAGATATTCATATCCCCTTTAGAATGTGTCACCTCTACAGCTGACCCCAGTAAGAGAAAGGGATATGCTATAATCTGCATTTTGAATACTGATCAGTGCAATACTCATTCTTTATGACTATTGCTGTATTAAAAAGGTACGTTTCAAACAATTATCTGGTCTTCAGCATTCATTTCTTTAACAATAATAATATGCCACTGTATACTGTATATTGAAATATACACATGTTTTGTTCTAAAACGGAGCAAATGGCAGTAAACCAGATTCGCCCCCAGGATATATAAAGTATTCTAATTCCAATTCTGGCTGCATATATAAAAAAAAAAAGGCAGCCTTTAGTTAATTTGGCTTATTTGAATAGAATAAGAAGTTTTAACTATAACCTATGTAGAACTATTAATGTCTGTCTGAATATATGGATAAACAGGACAGAGAAATAAAGAGAAACTGACAGTGAGAGGGTTGTCGGCAGAGTCCAGGATGTCCTCCATGATGGTGTTAGCGTACTCCAGCCGTCCCTCCAGTGAGCTGTTCTTCTTCAGTCCTGTCAGATTGACTAAGTGGATCTTTATCCAGTCAAGACCCTTTGGACCCAGGGGCTTCCCATCTGCAAAAATGAGGACAGCCCGTGTGACATCACTTCCTAGGTGATTAAAGTGCGGGGCACAGGGGTAGGTTCGTCCACGGAAGTCCATGTTGTGAGGGAACCAGAAGATCTCATCCCGCATGCAGTTGGCGATGGAGAGTTTATAAAGAGCGCTCATTCGCAGGCTGTGCATCTCATTGCACTTCCTCCTGGCATTAATCACTTCCCTCCTCATGTGGGCCTTCTCAGAAGACGTATAACTGGGATCTTGGGGGTTGAAATGGGGTATTTTGGGGGCTTCTGACAAAGGAGGAGGGATCTTTAGCTTATCATTACCACGATCATTAAAGATGGAGATAATAATATCCAACAAAGGCTTATTGATCCTCCATGCACAGTTGCCCAGCTGGTTGAGAGCGTCCAGGACTGCATGGAGGTTCTGGCATTGCTCCAGCAACACCTCGTGCTGCGTGGCTCCTTCCGCTGAGCGCATCAGCTGGCTAGGTGTCAGCAGGTAGGCTCCGGACTTGACTGAAGTCCAGGGCACAGGAGGGCACAGCATTGGCATCACATAGGAGTCAAAGGTTAACTTGGTCTCCATGGCTTCCAGCTGTATCTGAGACAGGATGGGGTGAGGTTTGATGAAGCCGACCTGCAGGGTGAAACATCAGAGCACATCCAATTAGAAGCCAAACATAGCAGAAGAAAACATGAATGTGAATTCTCATAAATGAATACCAGTAGATGAGATAAATAATCTGTTTCAGAGCAGTTACAATCATAACCCAGAAACTATGCTAAGCACTACTTCGATTGATATTAGTCCTCTGTTTATACAACTGGTCACCAGTTAATATCAGATCACTGACATCCACAGAATACTATGATATCTGCTCGCACATTTTCCATTACAGACTGAAAACCCTTCTCTCTTGACCGCAACTTGGCAACAAACACAAAAATCACTCTTCTGTAGATAGCACTTTGTATTATTTAAAGCGGTAGTAGCAAATTGGATATAGTTGGCCTATTGATAGCTTTGTACCTGCAGGATTCTTGCTTTTTTTAAAAGATTATTTCTTAATGGTTGAATGCACTCATTAATAAAAGCGCCGGCAGCATGTAGGACTGGAAATATATACCATCATTACAAAGGCTATACTAACCAGATAGAAAAATTAAACACCTCAGCATTGCGTTGCATGAGTCAGTCTGCCACGCTGGGATATAAAATCATTAGGATGCTCCCCTGATGGGCTAACCTCCGAGGAAAGAGGAACAATAGGAGAAAGGAAAGTAGAAGGAGAAAGAAATGTGTATATATATATATATACATATCGTTTCATATAAAATAAACTTAAGAGTAAAAGTCTGCAACAGGTCCGAGTGCATGAAATCCAAAAAGTCCACAAATCTCCCTCTCTCTCTCTCTTACTGCTCTCTCCCCTGACACGGTCGGCTCACCCCCCTGCAGGGTCCCGTGGCAGTAAATCAGCGAGCCAATTAAGGGGACACTAAAAAAGGGATTAGCCACGAACCTATTCATCTTACTCGACTTTTCCCCCTGCCAATTCTCACGAGGGGAGAAATGGTTTTATTATTCACACTCTTCAGAGCCTCACATTGAATAGGTGGGTGCACAAGTGTTCAAGGCAAAAGGCTTCAGAGGGAAAGACTGCCTTCTTTTCCACAGTGAAGGTTAAGAGTTTCAGGTATTTCCTTTGTTTCTGCTCCACTGTAGATCTTTTTCCATATTACAATATTAACTGTACAACTACTTAAACTAGGCCTGGTTAATCTTCTTACTTGTATCTGACTGAATTAGTGTAATTTTCAAAAAGTCTCCATTAATATTATCATTTGATTTGACTGACTGTGGGTTCTCAGCTTATTTTGAATCCTTTTGAAAATGTTCTTCAACTTTAGGTTGCTGGAGATCCTTTTAAATATAATCCTTGACCTTTTTTCCATATAAATCTCAGATGAAAGGATCTTCTTTGGTCTGGGAACCAAACGCTCAGGAATCCTGTTACGAGGTTTTCTATTCTGCAAAACCGTTTCAGTATGATTGCTACCAACTCCAGGCTAGCAACTTCTTTTGATATCCCTGTGAGTACTTTGAGAAGACTTCCACTGTACCTGTCGTGTGCTGCGAAAGGTGTACATATGATAGATGAGTGGTATGAGCTTCTCCTTGAAATCGGGATTCAGGATGTTGCTATACATTTTGACGCTGTTGACCATCAAATCCACCATGTACATGCCCAGCTCCAGGGTTACTGTGTACGGCAAATCGCTCTCTCCTCCCTGCAGCGAGGGGCCTGAACTGTGGTCCGCCACAATCTTACACCACTGCTCTCTGGGAAGGGTGTCAAACTCCTAGAAGGAGAAGAACAGGAGTGTTTTTATTCAGTAGTTACGTTTTCACTCATCACAATAAGCTACAGTGTTTTTTAAGGCATGTTGACACCAAAGATCAAAGAATGTGTCAAAAAGGCACTGCTTTTGTGATCTAATGAAAAGCTAGCTTTCATATTTCAAGATATCATGAATCCTGTTAAAGTCTAGAGGTATTAAAAGTTCTGCCAAAACAAGAAACCACAGATAGGGAGCCTTCAGGAAAAAGATGATACAAGAGAATAGAGACATTAGTTGGTCCTCAGACAAGGAAGTAAGAAGTTGGATTAATGATTTGTGTCATAACAACAAAGAAAAATATAATAATAGGCATCATTTTAACTACAAAGGCTGCATGTAAACAAACAACTAACTTCTAGTATAACTAGGTACAGGAGTATAATGAGCTGTTGCTCATTACAGTCCTGATGACACAGCAGTTTCGCCCCCAGCGGACAAAGACCATAAAAACAGAGTCAGTGAACAGGCTGACACAAAACTTTTAAACAGAGCACCAACTAAAATATGCATGACAACTTTATCTATATTTCTTGTTAAATTGACTGCAACTTAAAATGTCCCATTAGCATAGTATCTGATGTAACAGAGTAAAACAAGTACTTTGGTATTGTTCTAAGACAAGAAATGAGAAGACGTTGGGAATGGTGATACTCTACCTTTCCATCTTTTGCCACCAGGTCCGTGTAGGCGTTGTAAATATTGTTCAATTTTCCCACCGTCTGATTGTGTTGCTTCTGCTTCACGGAGTACATGGTGTTGACCCTGCCGCCCATATTTTTGGCTAAAAGCTTCAGCATCTCTCCACTTGGAGGCAGGTCGTCAATAGTCTGAGGTGTAGGACACAGATAAAAACGTCAAAACATTTATAAACCAATCCTTCAGTCAGAGGGGAAATCAATGTAAAAACCGGTATATTCAGAATTAACAACACATTAAATCTTCGTTAAATCCAAGACTTTCTGCATTTTATTGAGCTGTATGCTGGAGGGGTTATATTACCTGTATCATGATGTCAACATACTCTTTATCCTCTAGCACACAGAGGTAGGGATAAAGGTTAGGCTTATTTTTAGTTTTGGTGTCAACCAGGATCTTTTTACTCTCCCTCAGGGCCTGGAGGAGGCTCTTGTGCCACAGGACCCGCTGATCCGCCAGCAGCATTCTCTGAAAGGACAAATATCTGGAAGTCATCCTCATCTTATAACAGAGACTGGCAGCAGGAAACAAATAAAGAATGTGACAATTGTCAAATAGAATGCATCGTTGCTTGTTTATCACACACTGGATGAACCCAATTGACATGGTTATGAATTGTGAAGCAGCAGATGGGGCCACCTCTCACTAGACATTGTGTAGCATGAGAGTGCATGGTATTTGATGGTTGAGCTTTACCTTCAGACGAAAAGGAGAAAACAGCCTTATTCTCTTAAGCCCCGAGCCTGTTTTTCAGGTTTCAGGCTCGAAAATGACATGCCCAAAACAAATGACTACAACTTCACTTCTAAAAGGGTTATATGAATAATTAATTTTATCAAAGCAAGGTTACATCTGTGAGTTGGATGTAGAAGTGTCAGAATCAATATAGATTTTTCTCACTCAGAGTAAATTCAGATGGAACATAGTAAAAAAAGGTAAATTCTTACCTCCGCCTACAAAAAACCCATTACTTATAGTGAAAACCACCCTTGGATGATGGGTTAGTAGACTAAAAGCTTTAGGAATCCAAACTATAACATATAATAAGTACCCTGTATCAAGATTGAGGCAAAACAAGTTAAATTTGACCATTTTAGAGAGATTTAGCAAAATAAAGTTCCAGGCGGAATAGGCTTTCGGCACATTTGGGTATATCTGGTTCCATCAGTGCCATTTGACCTTTTTCAGGTACCAGACTATAAAAATGATGTATTACATTGAATTATCACCATAGGTATTCATTCCATTCAAAGAAAAAAAAAAAAGATTAATAAAAAATTAAAAAATATATATTTTTTTTTTTTATTTGTGGAGAAAAAAAAGACCCGCCGAGGGGGGCTTTGGGGCTTAACAGGTTAAGAGGAACACATCTGGGCCACAGACTGAATCATCCAGGACTAAAACAGGTAGTTTGGCCCATTTTAGAAAGGTATGTAATAACGTATATCATTTTTCAATGAGAATGGAAATCGTCAGCTGTCATCATCCCTTTATTTGAAGTTAGGCAGATATCTAAACCAACACTGTTCTTAGCTCTCAAGTTTTTATTTTACCAGAAGCGTTTCAAAGAAAACCTGTAAGTATTCAGCCAGAACACGCGTGTGCTTCAGCATTATTTTCATTTTCCTGTGCACTATAATATATCTTTTAGATGTGCTTCTTGGTTTTTAAATCATTTACTTACTTACTAGACCATACACTGAATAATGGGAAATTAGATTCTGTGGATGGGTACGCACACTTTGTTCCTGTTCAAGAACATGGGGAGGTATTGCAGTTATACCAATGATCCGAGCACTGAGTTCATTCTTTACTCAAAGAGTTTTATCCAGACTGAAGCAGAGACACAGTCTTGATTGTGAAGGGAGAGGTGACTTGGTTCTCTCCCGAGGCATCCATTACAATACATTATTATTCTGTCCTGCCTATCTGTAAATGCTTCCCGACCACCAGGGACTCTCAGCCCGCTCGCTTCCCACGTAGCCCATCTGCAGAGGCAGGCGAGCCAGGCAGGACTGTAAATGCCAGAGTTGGAAAAAAAAAGGCACACCACAGGCTGCCTCTAACCTGTCAGGCCTAAATGCATATTATTTAAAAGTTTATAACAGAAAATAAGGATAAACTTTACTCCTGGCAGACATTGGGTACCATTTGGTGTAGAAATACATTACTGTCAATACATCAAAGTTACGTAAATGGTGTTAGCATAATCTCTTTAAACAGAGAAGAAAACTGCCAAGATAAATACACCATCTTCGTCGGTAATTTGAGCCAGCATGGTGGATTAAGCAGGGAATCTACACGACTTTTAAAAGAAAAGAATTACAGCACAAAACAACAAGATGTCCTTCCAGTACAAATGACGCTATGTTTCTTTTTCCAAATGGAAAAGACAAGGTTTGTAAGAAATTAGGTTTGCTTTTCTTAAAAACAATGCAGCAACAACAACACTCCTGTGATACAGGGAACCAATTATTTTAACTAGTCCGTCACAAATAATCTGACACCAATATATTGAAAATACAAATGTTGTACCTCAAGTATATTTAAGGATTTGGATTGACTATCGATTTTTAAGACTAAACCATCTACTATTTACCTCTATAGCACACTATTTTTACAATTATTTGAAGATTTTTGCATCCACATTTTTAGAAGACGTGTATATATTAAATATGTGATGAAGATGAGGAGAGACAACATGTGTTTTTGTTTACCATTTTGGCCATGTTCTTAGTGATGGGCTTTGCGGCCTGCACAGAGTCGATGGTGATGGTGCAGTCCTGCTCAATGGTGAGCTGTTTTTTAAAACGCTGCTGAAGCTCCTCCTGACTGAAGTCCAGTTTAGGGTACCGGTGGTCCGACCGCTAAAACACATGCACACAAACACAACCGTGAGAAAGACAGACAGAAACAGAGAAATAACCAATTCCTACTGTATGCCATTGAAAGATTTTTGTTCACCTTGTGGTTAACGTCTAGAGACAGAAGGTTGAAAGACCCTGACCTTCTTTGTATTCACCTCTAACCTGCCCACCAATTAATTGCTGGTCTTTTCAGGGCAGTTATCAGAGGCCAAGTCTTAAAAGCATTTTAGTCCGCTGCAAAGAAAGCGTTAGTGTCAAAATCTTTGGCTTGGCAATGCGAGAGTGGAAACCCAGAGTTCATTTTTCTTCTCAGTTTGATATTATCAAGTATATGTGTGTATGCTTAGTAAATTAACTATCAAAATGCCTTTCGAACAAAGCACCAGATAAAATCGGATTGCATTGACAAAGGAAACAACTGAGCAACAGACTGTCACACAGTGCCACATTTCTTATTAAAAGAAATACAATATGCTTTATAAATGTCAGTTATTGTTTAAAGGAGGTAGTGACCTTGCCAAGGCAGTAAGACCATACTATATGTCATAGAAAGATTGCAGCCATTAGTGGCTGTAGTACAGCGATAAGAACATTTATTCGCTCCTAGTAAATCAGGCCTTGGAGAGATGGAGCATGGACCGTAGCCAGAGCAGAGTTTAAGGTAGTGTGCCACATAAATTGCTCACCAGACAGCTCTTGTGCAATATTACAACTTCAGAAAAACAGATGCGCTAAGAAGCTAACACAGGGAAAATTGTGCTGACACAATAGGGTTGAAAGTGCAAACTTGAAGCTTCTGAGGTACAAAGAAAAGCAAAAAGCTCTACAGAAACGACTGTCCAGCTGTGTGACTTTATTCAAATACATAACAACATTGTAAAACTGTCCAAACCTATAATGTCCCGTGCATAGACTGTATATATATATATATCTATATATATATATATATATATATATATATATACACTGTACTGTGTCAAACCCACAATGCATCGACTGGATGGATTAACACAATTTTACCAACCATCTGAAGAGTGTACTAACTAACTACTGTTAGTATTGCGAGCAAAGCAAAATGCAATGTTTTGTTGAAATTGGCACATGGGCCAGTTTCAACATGAACAAAAATAATTAAATGATAATACCATACATTCTCTGATGACAAGTTGAAACTAGATCAAACTGCATTTTGTACACGCATCAACCTAATCAAAATTCCATCTCGCAACAACAAACAATATTCTAATTAGATTGTGTGTCTGCTGCTAACACGGATTCAAAATCCTCCGGAGACCATCCAGTCTGCTCCTCTGCTATCTAACAGACCAGTTATTTGGACAACATTTCCGTCATTAAATCAACCTGCCAGTAAGTCACAGTTATCATAGTCAGATAACCAGCCTTACAAATACCATCGGAGGGAAGTAATGGAACACTTACATTTAGCCGGTTTCACATTTCACTAAGTGGCATGATTCATTTACACTCTTAAGATAAAAATACAGGAGCTGCTCATAGTGTTATAGCAGAATGTTTATTACAGCGTATTTCTGGTATATTCATTAATGTCACATGGTATTAAGCAACAGTATAGTGGACGGTGTGTTGTTCATTTGGTTTGCTGGAAGGAGGCCCATCTATAGGCAACCAGCTGAAACTCTTCACCAGCAGTTGTATCCATTGGCATGTGTGGTAGCTGCTAAATAAGGTCATGAAATCTGGGATCATGTAGAACTCAGAGGATGCAACATATATGACTGTATAAGGTTGGAACATGTCCAAGTTTAGGAGAACTGACAATGTGTGTGCGTTAAACATGTTGAGGGTACATGTTCGTGTGTCATTTAGAAAAGTATATCTGCCCTGTGTTTCTTGTATTCGTTGGGGGGCAGTTCCGCGATTGGCTGCTGTGGCAGCAGGTGATGTACTCCCCATTATTGTTTGTTTGTTGCAACAACTAAATAATAATTACTGATCAGCTATATCTGTGTTTGTGTTTTATTGATTCCTCTCTATTTCATTCTTTCCTGTTGTGTGAGTGCTGGATCGCCACAACAATAGCAACCTTCACACACGCAGGCTAACAACAACATCAAGTTGACCAAAAATATTAATAAATCTGTTTCTAATTCTAAATTCTAAACTTGAACGAAAAGCTGTTAACGAATCATGTGAGAATCAGAAGGGGAAGTGAGGTGGGAAAAGGGGAGGAGAGGTGAGAGGAGGAGAGGCGAGTACAGCAGAGCAGCCATTAGGACGCAGTCGGCTCACTATAAATAGGCCAGTGCCCGTCTGGCTGTGAAGGAGTGACAATCAAATATTTCGTAGTCACGCTGGAGCCTTCTGACAGCTTTCTGTGGTGCTTTGACATACACAATATCTGTATTTATGTTATACATTGACACTCTTTATCACAAAGCCCCATGCTGTTTAATAACTGTGACTAATGTATTCAATGCTTCTGGATAAAAAAAGAAGTATTTATGAAATGCACGTCATGGCATTGATGGATCTTCTAAATCTCTGATCTCTGATTTTAAAAGTAACAACAACTGGGGTATAAAATCCTTGGTTTCAACACACATCTGCTATATCAAGATCAGCATGTTGTAGTCCAGGGGTCGGCAACCCCTGGCACGCGTGCCAGCATTGGCATGCGGCACCGTAACCAGTGGCACACTAGGAATAAGTGTGCAAAATATTTAAATTGTATTTTCGGATCCTAAACGAGACCACCGCCAGAGCGCGTCTCCCCGTTACCTGCAGAAGGAAGCCATGCACGCAGCGCAGCCCCGCTCTGTTTAACTCCAGGTAACTTTCTGCCGCTTTCCTCCGTGGTGCAGGGCTGATCGTTTCACCACAGAGGAAAGCACTTCACAAATTGCAGTACCCATAAGGAGCTGTACAAATGCCGCAGTTTTTGCGTGGCTGTGTCTTTAGTTGAAAGCCCAGTGGCGATCTGCTCATCTCTCATTGAAATAATATGCTACAAAGGGGCGGACTGGCCATCTGTGTGTTGAACTTTCCTGTCGGCTCCCAGACCGTAGTCGAGGAGGACAGAAGCAACAAGCTTCAGGTTCAATAACCCACTTTAGCTTAAATGACTGGAGAGAGGCGAGCTCTTCTTGGGAGGCCGTTGCATTTATTTAGCTGTTCTTCTGTTTCACAAAATACATCACAGACCTCTGTTTTTCTGCTGCCTCGTTTCACTTCCAGAAACATACACACGCTCGCTCACTCTCTCTAAGGGACAGCGATCTCATCTCACTCTGCATGACCCTAATATCATAACATGTGTGTTCTGGAGAATCACAGAACGGACGATCGTCCTTATTATTATGCCGTTTAAACCAATTATTTAAATGTGTTTGTTAAATTCGGCATCATGTAAGTTCAGGTCCACACACTGCTTCCCCGCAGCGAGGCCCCCCCGCCCTCCTGTTGATAGTTCACGAGCGTCACGCTCCTCAACCCCCCCCCCCCCCGTTGATAATTCTCGATCGTTGGCACGCACACAATTTTTTATTTTTTTTTTTTTAATGGCACTTCATATCAAAAAGGTTGCCGACCCCTGTTGTAGTCACTATAACAACCCCTGAATTGAGTTATAGATTTAAGCATAAAGGCCAGCAGCTAACACTTAAATGTACATTATATGAGTTATGATGACTTAAAGGTAAGAATGGTCAAAATGGTCACAGTCAAAAGCTCAATCAATCTGTGGGGTATGAATAATATGGGTCAGATTTGACTTTCAGTGGTCTGGCAAAATAAGTATCGAAGCATCAACTGACAGTATTCCGTAATAAAAAACATTGCGAAACTTTGATTGTTGTACCGAAAACGTTCTAACTTTCCGACTTGGGTCCACTTCTGACCAGTGAGTAAAAAAAGAGGACGGAAACATAAAACTCACGTGTAAAATAATCATAACTGTTTAAACTTGGGTAGAAAAATTGTGAGTTCATGTCGGAGACTATTGCTCATAGTATGAAGATGTTTGAGGAAATAGGTTGTGAGTGCCTTTAAGTCAGCTACTAACCAATCACTGTACTGTGTCACAACAACTGAGAACATGGTACATGTCAAAGACAGCCTGTGCTACATTTACCTGTGTGTAGTAGTCATGAACCAGCGATGAGGAACACTGCTCAGTGTCTGTTTTGAGGCTGGGCTGGTAGTCGGGCTGGACAATTTGCACGGCCTTTAGCACCATGTCTCTCTCATCTTGCCGAAACACACCCTTTCTGAACACATCATCCAGAGAAAAGCCTTCCTCCTTCATCTGGGTCAGGCACCTGGACATAAAGGGACAAACAGTTGTTTTACCAGGTTTCTATTGGCCCTTAAGCAGATTTGAGCCATGTTCGAGTGAGGTGACCTGGGGATGCTCATCAGAATAAGTGGCTTAACAACCATTCATGCCAGGTATTATTATTTCTGGCTAATAGATGTCACTTTTTCAATTAAATTGGGATAAAAGCATACAGTCCAGTCACTTTCCAATGACTCATATGAGCTCTATGAGTAAGAATGGCCAATAGCACACTCAATACTAGCAGTAAACAAATTAGACATCATCCGATTATTCTGTAAACCACAGAATATTATTGTGCAATGCGATGGAAGCAAAGGATAAAACAAAGCACAAACAGTAAACTATTTGCATTTCTTTCCTGACCATAAGGGAACAGAGAAGTGCACCAATGTGTAGCTGCAGGACTCCTTGACTTGTTGGCTCTTCTTACCAGCAGTCTTTTTGTGTGCACGTTACAGTCCACACAATTGATTTGTTTAATATGTTGCCAACCAGAGACTAAAAGCCATATCTCAAGCCACATCTTGTCTGTATACAAGATTAGATTAAAAAAGCATAACCTCCAGACAACTCTGTTGCAGAAAGTAATTACAATACTTTTTCCTTTACATCCAGAAAGGATGAATTGTTCAGTAAAGGTAGCCAGAGAATGAGCACATCAGATCACGAAGTAGATTTTCATTTACGTGGGAGATTATGGTTATTATGATGGAACAGATTTTGGAGTCTGATCACAAGTTAAGAGGGCACAACCCTTTGACCTGCCTGTTGATGTGGGACTTGGACTAAGATAATTCTATAATTTGCCAGCTCCTGATTAATTCAGCTTTTAAAAACCTCCCTCCTCTGTTGGATCATTGTATATGTCTCGCCTACCCTGATCTACAGTTACAGAATATAAATGTATCCATTTGCATTGATGGGCCTTTCTGTCAGAGTCAAAGTATGAGACTGATCTAGGGGCAGATGGGCACTGACGACATCAGTGAAATGTTTATTTAAATAGAACCTATTAGAGATCTCCTAGAGAGGGAACAGTCTCCATGACAGGACTGCAGAATGCAAATAATACCATTGTGCAACCAGTCTCTGGAATACAGATGAGAGGTGCAATAACATGATTATTTCATAGCTCGGTTTGATACGTTACCTCAGAAAACCTGTGAATTAATGAATCCAGCCTGGGGGATTTGTATTATTCTGTGATTAGCAGGAATCAGGGGCTGAAGTGATATATAGTTTGTGTTGGTCAATTATTTATGATTTGTGTTAGGGCTGCATGATACATTTAATTATAACTTAATTAATTTAGTGGGAATGCTGATAACAGCATTCCAACTATATGTTATGCTACGGACAAAAAGTTTATTATTCCGCCGGCTTATTTTGGCCCTCTTCTCCTCCCACATTCAACATCGCAGAAACTCCGTTCAAACATCAAAACGTTCAGCTCGGTCGGGAATTGATGGCTATTACTTTTATCATTCATAACTTTCATAATTCCAGAGATACATCCCATAATACATCACATTTTTAACCATTGAAGTCAATGGAGAAACTCTTCAGACTTCAACAAATCTTCATGCGACTTCAACTGCTAACTGTTCATTCATACTTTCACTCAGAAACCTCATTCCAACTTTAAAATGTTACACATCTTTCTGACATTATTCGTGTAACACAACTTTTAAATCTGATTCTTACTTTTAGAGATATTAAACATTGTTCAGACCTTGGTAAAGAGGTTTTCTTCAGATTTTAACATTAACTAGAGTGCGTGATGTCCCAGCTAGAGTGGAGGAAATCTTGAAATTTGCCTTCATATTTTTCATGACAAACGTAGGAAAACATCTCGTAGCTTGAAAAATGACAAATAATTAAGCAAAAATCATTTCAAAGCGTTCAACATTACTCCATTAAAGCCCATTGTAATTTCAGGCTGATATTTCCTCACGGTAGCAGCCAGAATCTGTTACGGTTCTTCGACAAAGCGTTCACATGTAAGAGGTTTATCTCTCATTCAGAACAATGGAAACCTTTGATCTCTGCACACCTCGTTAGCTCAAATATAAACACCTGTGTCATGGAACACGATGATGTCATAACACACAGGTGTTCGTGTTTGAGCTAACGACGTGGTCACTGGAGTTTAACAGACTGTCTGAGCCTATTCTTTTCTGTCTGATGGAGGGTGTTTCTCAATCGCGAGTAAAGCTGCTTCAGAGCCACTATTTCAAGCATACTACGTCATCGAGTGCCGCCGAAGTACTGTTCCAATCTCCAGCATACTTGGAAATCTACCGAGCCCGGCGTACTCCGTTTGGAGAAATATCGAGGCTGCACATGAGTAGACTCCGCGGTCTTAAAATCCCCACAATGCTTTGCGCACGGACCACTCTCATATGACGCACACCTGCACACTTGCTAGCGTGTTCCACTCTTCGTTTTCCAAATGCCAGGAAGTATTCTTGACTCGCTTCTGAAGCAAGATACTAGGCAGACATGTGCTACCAAGCAAGCGTACTCGCGATTGAGAAACACCCTGAGACTTCATACTGACTTCAACATGTTCCACCTAGTTTATACATTATTGGTGACACACAGCTGTCGTCGTTAGCTCAAATATAAGCACCTGTGTCATGGAACACGATGATGTCACATTGACAGGTTTGGTAACGATGCAGCCATCAACGCATCTAAGCGTATTATGGGGTGTCATCAAATGCCGTTGCCATGGCGACAGACCACTCGCCATGAAGCACGATGTCGCTGTAAGTCCAATGGACACGGTCCGATCGTCCCCCAAACTTCGCTTGTATATCACCGGTCCAGCCCTCAACAGCTCTACGTCAATTATGGGGTTTCTTCAAATGCCGTTGCCATGGCAACACAAGGCTCGCCATGAAACACGGTTTTCTCATAACTTCAGTGAAAATGCTCCAAACGGCCCAAAACTTCACAGGTTTGGTAACGATGCAGCCATCAACGCATCTAAGCGTATTATGGGGTGTCATCAAATGCCGTTGCCATGGCGACAGACCACTCGCCATGAAGCACGATGTCGCTGTAAGTCCAATGGACACGGTCCGATCGTCCCCCAATCTTCACTTGTATGTCACCGGTCCATGCCTCAACAGCTCTACGCCAAATCTGAGATCTCACCATATGCCGTTTCCATGGAAACGCATCCCTCGCCATAAAAGACGATGTCGCTATAACTCCTATGAAAATGTTCAAAAAGTGCTCAAACTTCACATGTGTGCTAACAGTCCAGCCGTGAAGACATCTACGGGACATGCCGTTGCCATGGCAACACAATGCCCGCCATGTAACACGGTTTTCTCATAACTTCAGTGAAAATGCTCCAAATGGCCCAAAACTTCACAGGTTTGGTAACGATGCAGCCATCAACGCATCTAAGCTTATTATGGGATGTCATCAAATGCCGTTGGCATGGCGACAGATCATTCACCATCAAGTTAGTTCAAAGGTTTACGGTTCAAATATTCTGCTGCTTTTCCAAGCCTTTTTACTCTCTTTTCTTCTCTCATCACATTCAAGCCCCCAGTGTTCATGTATCATTTCAATCTAAATTCTTCACTTTCTTCTTACACATTACATTTCAGCATAGCAGTTTAGCGTCAGATTTTCAGCATAAAGCATTCCCACTAGCAATTTCTTCAGGAATTGCATTCTCTAGTTATATCTATTATAATCATTTGAATCAATATGGCAAATGGCAAAATAGATTAAAATGATAACAGTGATTATTTTAAACTGATCCATACCAAACAAGGGTTTTTCATTAAGTCTATAAAATACCGTTAGTAGAATCTTTTTTTTTATAGTTTTACCAAATATTGTGATTTTGATAACATTTTGACTAATTGTGTAGTCCTAATTGTTGGTATATAAAGTTAATAAGCGGTTTACTGATGTATTCTTCGAATGTATGAATTGGGCCAATGCAATATTTGTATAAAATGACTGAATGGCATCCAGGTTATACTGTATATGCAATTTGTACTACCTACAGTGTACACTATTTCATTTATGTGCAAGAACCTCTGTCATATGTCTACATATGATTGAGCAGCTTTTACACCGTGTTTGGTTGCACTGCTCCCTAGAGGTTAACAACTGAACTACCTGACCGAGCCTAGAGACTCCAGTGAGGAAAACCCATTTGTCATCCCCAGAGGATGAGAGCACTCTGCTTCACCTGCACACCTTCTAAAAACAATTATAAATAACAGCATGCTGATTACCATCTAGGGGAAACTTGCATCAGCAATTTCCTACAACTGCATCTTATCAGAAAATGAGATGGTTTCTCCACATGAATAAATACATAAAAAAGAACTGTGTGATAATAGTCTGTCATATGTCTGCTGTTTGAAGTGTATGTTATATTTCTAAAAGGAAGCAGAAGAGGTCACATTTTTTTTTTATTCTCACTTGTGCCTCGGAGTCTCTCGTGATGCAATGTGCCATTTTGGTCTGAGTAAAGGAGAGAGCCTCGAACAAAGAGAGGATTAGTCTGGGTGCTGGCACCGTGGTCCGGAGGAACAAAGAGAGCAGAGGGGTTGAAAGATAGAGCATAATCAGCCAAGTGACTGCTCTGCTTCACCCCAGGGAGCAAAGAACTCTGGAGGACACAGCACTTACAGACGGGAAAAACTTTAAGGGATAAGTGTGTGAGAGACAGAGGAGAGGGGAACAGATGGGTGCACTGAGGGTAAGGATGCTGCAGGGGGGACTTCACAGACGAGAGTGATATTAGGAGAGTACAGCATATTAAATGGGGAGACAACACAGTAAAGTAAAGAAGAGGCAGGATACAAACACAGTGAGTGACAAAGAAAATTATGATAGTGAGGATTGTAAGAGAAAGCAACTGCTGCAGAACAATGTCATACAAGCATCAGCTTACACTGATCGATAGACTAACCTGATACCTACCCACAATCCTACTGCCCTGCCACCACCACCTGTCTTGCTATTGGACCACGCTGCATAGGGTGATGTCTCCAGGGTCCAGGGGGGGGGCGTCTGTGCGTCACTGTGTGTGTGTGTAATATTGCCACAGCACTTGACCCAACTGAGAAGGATGAAGCTCTCAAACAGCTAATCAAGCCAGCACTGAAATGCGGGAGAGATAATATTCCATCACTTCTCAGGTTATTTAGCATAGTGTGATTAGAAGCTACATAGCTGTGGCCCAGATTACAAAGTGCCTTCCTCACACAACATATGAAGGTCAGACCTTGAGAAGGCTGAAGGCTGTTTGGGCTAAACGTGCACCCCCTTTACAAAATAGGGGGTCATAAATTAAAAAGATCCAAACTTATATTGCATTCACGCAGAATATCTAATAAAACATCTACCACGAGGAAGTTGTCTTCAACGTCACCAAAAGAAATCAATAACTAATAATGGTAAACAGTCGTTCCAACTTAATTTAACGTACAGGTCCTGATATTTTTCACCACTGTCAGCGATTTAAAAAGTAAATATAAGAACCAGTAATGGATCTTTGGAGGCAATGCAGATATTGATATGTGAAAGTTAAAGCTTTTGAAGTACGATAGCCCTGTCTCCATGTTATGATGTATTTTTAAAATGCAGACTGGGAAGGAGGAGACTGAAATAGGACATGCCATTTCCAAAAGGGTCCATTGTTCAACAGCGTCTATATCAACATGCATGAGGGGAAATTAAATAAATACAGTTTGTGCCCTGGAGTTTTCCCGTCATAACTCCTGACTCAGGTTAAGCCCTGCCTGGGCTGCAGGCCAGCTGATTGTATTGGCTGCCATCAAACAGCACACACACTGTGACTGAGTGTTCTGCTGAGGCTTTGAGCTGTGCCCATAGGGTTATACTGTATGCGTTACATTTCCAGCAATAAATCCAAAGTGTGATACACAGTCAGTGACATAAAAACTTGATTAATATTACTTAACTGTGATTTGTCAGGATGACCTAGTTACCGCCGAGACACAACTGGACTACTGGCTGTCAAGGCTTGATACAAAGTTGCTTAAACTTGTGGTGTGAGCAAAAGATAAATAGAACAGAGTTATCTTCAAACTATTTAATGAGTCTGTTCCAACCTGATTAAGACTATGTTAGCATGCTGCTGCGAAAATGAAAACTTATTTTCTAAGAAGCTTGGTGAAAAGCTACAATAATTATTACACAAACCTCTGCAAATTTACAAAACGAAATTGAAGAAACATCCGTAAAATGCAGTGTTGCCATGGAAACGATATCAGCGATGAGGGAAAGGAACAGCAAACAAGGTGCTAAGAGTTAGGAACAATTGATTCTGTCAGTAGACTACAGGATAGACACTGAACAATGATCAGGTTTGCCATTCAAAACACAGCTGTCCAAACATGATCAGCAGTATAACAGCTCTGTGTTGACTGGAAATTGCCACTGAATGCTGCGTTCCAAGTTTAAATTATAACACCGACCTGGTCGCAGCTGACCCTTTGAAGCGAAGCCCTTGAGACAATAGCTGTATTTGACATGGACATTTATGACGTATACCTGTGCTGACTCTGCTAGTGTCTGTATTTCTGTGTTTGAAAGCAGCTTTGATTTACAATTTATAAACAAGACGACTTAAAACTAGACCATAATGGCAAAGGGAAACCCTGACCATCTCCATTGAAATCAATATGTGGCAGAAACAAGTGTTTTTAGAATAAAGAGAGAATCTCAGACTTTAAACAACCACTATAACAATCTTACAAAAGAAAACAATGAATGCACAACAATAGGAAATCTTTGCAAACATTTTAGTTGCACAGCTACTGTAAAAGCCTTACTACTGTAGATCCTCATGAGGTGATGCTGCTTCTTTATCCCCATGTGACCAAAGTAACCACCATCCAGCCAACACTATTATTCTGCAGCCTTTAACTAAACCAACAATATCCAAAGAATGCAACATGTGACATTTTCTTAGATTTAGACTCTCATCAAAAGTGACAATCATGGCTACGATATTAAATAAATAATATGCCATAACTCAGAAACGAGTGCAGAAGTAAAAACAATGAGCACAACATGACCCCTACTGGTAAGTCTTTGTATTACTACTGCTCTCTTTTAAACTTAAATCTGTCCCAAGGCTTTACAGTAATAGCACTCAAAAGTTAAATATCAAATTATACAGAAAAGCATGTGTAAACTTGAAAAGGCTTGTTATCACAAACATGATCTGGAACAGACAGACCTCCATCCACAGCACAGTGTCAGCAGCACTATAACAAAGCGTGACTCCACTATTATCATTCTGGTATAGGGGGAAAAACACTCTTGTTTGTATTCAACGCCATTTGGGGGCAAATAAACATAAGGTATACATTAGGTGAGTCTCAAACACGGCTGTTATTGAGTCCTGTTTATTGATGGCATGTGTGTTTTTGTGTGAACATACCTTGTGACAACTTCTGGGGGGCAGTTGGGTTTACGTCCCATACACTCCAAGACACTACAGAAGGATCCCAGGTTTGGCTTCAGATTAACTTCTTTTAACATAATAAATATGTGGCCAATCCGACTCAAATTGCTCTACAAATAAACAGAGGGAGAGAGACATGGAAGAATTAAACTTTGCCACCATGTGCACTTTATACTAATGTTTAGTCAAATCATTTTTTTATTGACACCAATGAAATATTTGACATTTAATCTAAAAAACGTACTAACCAGGTATCAAGGTATACGTTTATTGTATAAAACGCGATAGAAAGACTGACAACTAATAGAGAACCAGAGTATTGCACATTATCTTCACAAGTAACAAATCCTGATGAGGTTTGCTATAAGTTAAATCTGTTAAACCATTTAGCCTGATATATCTTAGTGTATAAACATTTCAAGGGACCCACAACTTCTCCAAACCCTCTCAGTTTTAGTATCGAAGTTGTTGAACTCACGTGCTTTGCCAACACCCTTAATATGATGTTGTAGACATTCGTGTCCATGACTTTTATTTTTTTCTGGTGCTGGTTGATCAGGAATCGCTGTGCCCTCTGAGAGTCTTCAGCAAACACTAACGCCTCCAGGTAAGAGGAGATTGTCTGGCAGAGGCCCTCAAATTCAGCCCTCTCACTGTCCCACTGCAGGACCTGCAGGTTACTCGAAGACGTCAAATGGCTTATTTGTTGACTGACCATCTTCATCATTTTCACCTCCACCAGTTTTTCAGAGCTGACCTTAGCATCAGCAACAGTCTGCTTTGGTGTCGGATTTTTAGATTCCTTCTGTTTTCCTTTAGATTCTTTCTGTGTCTTTGCTGCTGTCCCCGCAGCAGCACCAGCAGCAGTGGAGGTAACAGTTGAAGAAACTCCAGCACTAGTCTCATCAGACACTTTTTTGTGCCCTTTAATGGTTTTGATCAAGGGCTGAGTCTTTTTAGCAGTGGTAGATATCGTTTTCAGTGATTTACTGGGGAGTGATGAGCTGCTTTTGCTTCCTTTAGATTTTACACTCTTTTCCATTAAATATTGCCGTTTTTTCTTCTCCTGCTTTAATTTTTCCGTCCAGCTGCTTAGCTTAGATTTAGAAGCCTCTTTAGCACCAGTCTGTTCTGATTTAGGAATGACGTTTTTTTTCTTGGGTGTGCTTTTGGGAGCTTTATCAGATAAGACCTTATTTCCAGAAGACGGGGCTTTAAGAAAATGCACCTTCGCATGCTGGACATCTAAAACTGTGTCGGATTGGAGTTGTTGCATCCTTGCTTCAAGCACTGAGAGAGAGAGAAATAAAAAAAGTCATATTTTGTAATTGCAATTGTTTGAGAGTAAAAGAGTGGAACACAGAAATAACGATAGGCATTAAGTGAATGCAAATACAGAAGTCTTTGATAAAATGGTAAGCAAATGCAGTTTAAGCTGCATACAGAAAAAAAAAACTCTTACAAACCAGTATCTGGTATTAAAAAGCATTTATTGATAACATATAACATGGTGAGTTTGGGGGTCAAAGATGCATAAGCATGCCACCTGTGGTCTACATTAACATACCGTGTAACAGAGACTGTTTCAGTTCACGTCGCTTTGCATCTTCTCTCTTTGGGACAAAGGAAATATTTTTTCTTTGAAGTTGCCATGGTGTCTCTGAAAAAAACGAAAAAGAATTAAAGATAATAATATTAATAATCATCGACAATATGCAGAAACAACTGAAACCATAGTGATATGGCATACTGTCACGGACTCGAGTCGCATATTTTTGGACTTGAGACTTGCTTGACTATTGATAAAAGACTTGGACTTGGTATTCATAACTTGAGACTTGACTTAAGCTTGAGACAGATGACTTGAAAGGACTTTACTTTTTTAAAATTAAATATTTGCATTTGTATTGAGATATTACGTTTAGTTTTCAAACGTGATTGGGTGATTATAGCGCCATGCGCGCAAACCTGGCAACCCACTAGTAGGCAGGAGTGTCAGTTAACATGGCAGCGGCTAGCGATACTCAAAAAATAGTAAAGTTTGGATTAAAAGATTATGTTGTCGATGACGCTAATAAGAAGAGAACAGCGGTATGCAGGGTCTGCATGCCTTGTTTATTTCCCCTGTGTTATTATTCAGAAGTTTCTGTAAACTTTTGAATAATGCAGTTCATCTACTTTTAGTAGTTTGTTTGTTTGTTTAAAGGAAGGAGAGGAGAGAGGAGAGAGGAGAGGAGAGAGGAGAGAGAGGGGAGAGAGGAGAGAGAGAGAGAGAGAGAGAGAGAGGAGAGAGAGACGAGATCTAGAGAGAGAGAGAGCAGAGCGAAGAGAGATAAGAGAGCGAGGAGAGAGAGAGGAGAGATAGTAGCAGGAGAGAGAGAGAGCATAGAGAGATATATCGATATCTGAGGATATATCGCTCTCGCTATCAGTCTATATATATAGATATCTCTATCTCTTCTCTATCGTCTATCTCTCTCTCTCTCTCTCTCTCTCTCTCTCTCTCTCTCTCTCTCTCTCTCTCTCTCTCTCTCGTGTTCCACACTTCGTTTTTCCGAATGCCAGGAAGTATTCTTGACTCGCTTCTGAAGGAAGATGCTCGGCAGACATGTGCTACCAAGCAAGCGTACTCGCGATTGAAAAACACCCGGTGTGTCTGTAGTGAACTTTTCAGAAACGTCTGTTTTACAGTCAATGCTCCGGCAAAATAACCGGGTTATATAACTGTCTTTATTATTGCTATAAACTCAATGGGAACACCTTAAGAAAAACCTGGGTAAACTTGGTGCATCATTAAATGTGACTGTAGGACAGACTCACCTGATATTCGTCTGACTGCCCCGTCTCTTAGCGACACACACAGCACACAGCGGTCCGCACTAGACAGGCGAACTGCACATTGTTCAAATAAACTGCGACGATTCAGACATTTGGCAAAGGCACACAGTCTGAGGAGTGACATGTTGACATGTAATAACCGCGTTACTTCTCAACACAGGGCTGCCATCTTAAATAAGACCAAGCTAGTCGCGAGGAACGATCATCATGCTCGTGTAAGGCATGGTGAGTAGATCGCAGATAAATCGAGTATTGCGTTTTTTGGTAATTGTGTTAATATCTGTGCTAATTATTGTTTTAATTTTCAAGACCACCTTCTTGTAGACGTTCGCACTTGAAATAGGCATGCTGATGGCAGTAAAATTGTTAAATATTTGCATATAATATAAAACATCATAATTTCTGTATTTAATATTCATTAAGATTGTATTTAACATATGCCTAAACCCTGCACTTTGCATGTATATGCACCTTATCAAAAGACATGTATTCATATTTAGACATGCATACATTGATCTGATATGTGCATTTATTACTAGTAGTACTTTACTACTCTTTGCACTTTCTAGTTGAATTCAAACTGCATTTCGTTGTACTCTGTTCACAAGTTGAATCTAACAAAATCGTATCTTTATATTCTGTATTTTATGATCAGGGTAGTCTGAAATGGATAATGAATCATTTTGGCCTACAGGTGGCAGTCTTATCATAGTAAAGTTAAAGTAGGACTAGAGGTCAAACTGGAGGCCAAGGTGAAAATGACTGTTTTGAATTCAGCTTTAGTGTCATTGCTATATAGTTCATTTTAGAATGGAAAAGTTATGACCATGCTCTAAACACCGGTAAATTGTAGTACAAAATTGATTGAAACTAAAAGTTCAGCCATAAAATGTATTTCCTGTGCTGGGTTTTCTTTTGTTGACTTATATATGGAAAATACAGCAGCAAAGTTATGAAAAAAATGCAAAATACCTTTAATTTGAATGATAGAGTAAATTGACACTTGAGAAAACCACAACAAACTTTGTGTTTGTGTATGTATGCTTTCACAGAACTGTTTTGCGGCAATCTATGTAAACTTCTCATTTATTAAGGGGAAAGCAACACAAGTTAAGTAAACTGCATTTCCATTAGGTAATCCAAAGCTGGTAGTATACACATGCAACCTGCCCTTATGCTGACTTGACCAAAGTAGGCTACATTTTACAGTTACTTAAAAAAACTTGTCTTCTTCTTCCAATCAGCTTTTGAATTTCAAACATCATACAGTTCAATCAAGTGTGACTCAGCTCCAAATCGTAAGTAAAACTGAATGTATCTCATTCACATCCTGTGTACTTTCTGACCCCCAGCAGTGTCAGCCTCCCCTTGTCATGCATCCATAAAGCATTCTTAAACACTTTAGCGGGCCTTTGTGTCTCGGCAGGCTGGAGGTTAACACAAGCACTACTTGACAGAGAGAGAATTGGGGGGGGGGGGGGGGGGGGGGCAACAGAGAGGGAAATGAGGTCCAGGCAGTACATCTTTTCTCAGTGGAGGCAGTGGCTGAGAGCACAGCGGTGGGTGTCTGCTGCTGAGCTGTAGGTGAGGATCAGGAGGTGTTTGTTGCCACGGTTCACGAGCAGGGCCCCTTGACAGCCTCGTTTGATGTGGTTGGCCCCTGTCGGCGGCTGGCTCTTTGCACTGGTGTGACAGTCATTGCCGGGTGAGTGACTGTCAATGCCTCGACCGACAAAAGAGGAGAAGACAGGCATTCATGGGGCCTGATAATGGCCAGGCCAGGACAAGGCTGCCATTCTCATACACTTTGATCATGTGGATTCTTTTGCACACCTTTGTAGGGGCTCCCTATTTGTTTAACAGATGGAGAGAGGGCTGTTTTTGATGGAGATACTTCTCTTTGAGATGCTTGTGTTGGTAAATGCTTTTGGCATGTGTTTGCGTGTGTGTGTTTGCATGTGTGTGTGTGGCTGTGCGTGTGTGTGAGCACCACTTCAAATGGAATTAGTGACCTGCGGGAAAGAAAATGCTTTTTAAGTAACTCACATGAAACTCCCCATAAGTAACATCTGAGAAGTCATTTTTTAAAGCTTGATTTGAAAACGTTATCAAACTTTTTGCAGTACATTAGCTATTTTGTACAGCCTACTGTAAACTTGCAGAGTACTGGCATGAACATTAAATTATAAATATTACTCATCACACACTTTGTGTCCATTACTGTCCATTACAGAGACACAGACACCAAAATGATCCTTCAGGCTTCTGCACAAACCTTTCCTGGACTGATGTGACTCACAGCTCTTTTAAAGATGTTTTCAATTAGTGAGTCAGTTAAAATGTCCTTAGATGTGTCATGCTACTATTAACAAGTGCATCTTAATAGAATAATTTGAAAAGATCATGTACACTTTGAGCCTTAAATGATGATGGGTCAACTTCAACATTCAGACAAATCTACCGCATGTATTAGAAGAGGGAAAAAATGCTGAGTCATCAGAGATATTTAAAGTGCTTTTTTCAATCCTCACCACTGGCATCCTGTTCTCTGTTGGCTGTGGTTTAGGAGGTAGATTGCTCAACGTTGGATAGAAGCATTGGTGGTTCAATCTCCAGCCCTGCATTAAAAACATGTTTAGGCAAGATACTGAAATACCCATATTGCTCCCAAGGGCATGGCCAACATTGTGTGAGTGTTTGTAAAAGTGTATCAATCCTGATGAACAGGTGGATTCTATGGTTGCCTCTGCCCTTGTTTGCTTGTGTGTTTGAATGCTGACTCGTGTGTGTTAAAGTGCTTTAAATGATCAGAGCATCTCTATGAAAATCAAATCTATTTTTACTTCATGTCCGTGTCCTCTTTTAAGTTCTGATGCATCAGATTAGCAGTGTGCAGATGTTAAATCACTCCTGACAAGTCACATTTATTATCATCAACACTATCGGTTAGTTGGATCTCTGCTCGCCGTCCTCTGAAGAACCGGGAGGCTGGATCTCTCAGAACTCTTCGCAGCATCAGATAGACGACCCACTTATCATAAAGCCACTGACAATAGACAATGGCCATAAAGCAGGATATGCAAAAGGCCATGTCCGTTCTGGTGGTCTGGTCAGTTCCTTTAACCATGTCCGCATGTCAACCACATCAGACAGCGCAGCGATACCAAGCACACCTGTGTTGGCTCTGACATGACAACACAGGCAGTGTTGGACATGCTGAAAGGATGAATTGCAAAACAGCTGAAATTATAAGAATTTACTGCCGTGAATAATATGTGTGAGATAATTTCCTTATGTGAGTGTTTTACCTCCTTGCAGTTTAGCTTAAAGAAAGTAAATTATAGTCTCGGAACAGTTTTATGTTAAAAACACACACCTTCCATACCACTGAGTTACAAACTGGCAGCATGTCAGTACTAAAAGCACGAGGTCATGGGTGAGCTAAAACACAACAACAAGAACAAAAGGGAGAAAGAGAGAGACAAGGACTTAGCAGGCAGGCAAAACAATTAATAATAGGGAGCTATTACTGAGGGATTGTCAGTGCTAGGAAGGAGGTCGGGTTTCAGACCCTTTTGAAGACTTTGATGGTACAAAACAGGCCTCATTATAGAGATATTATCTCTATTCATACACTTACAGAGCCGCTTGGATTCCTGCTGGGAAAGATTAGATTCCTCCACTTGAGAACATCCTCCTTGGGTGCCTGGCTCACAGAGTGGTGTTCTCAGCTCAGGGCACACCCACACAGCACGGCTCGACTCAGCCTGAGCTCTACAACCGTTTCATGGATTAACATGAAGTTGTGTACACACTCATGGTCCTCAGAGGATGAATCCAAATGTCCCAAGGGTCGAACTTACATGGAGAAGCAACGTTTAGTTAATATGCTCAATATATCTGGAACAAACTCCTAGAAAAATGCACATCTCACTTTTTTTGTTTGTTGCCGCCTTTTATTAAATCAAATAATGATTTATATGTTGTACATTTTCTTTTAGTATTTTTCTTGGCTTTTATTGACTGTCTTTAAATGTATTTCAATATATTCTTACTGTCTTTAATACTTTTTGGAAATAACTTTGAATTGCCTTGTGTTCAAATATGCTATATAAATAAATGTGTCTTGCCTTGCCTAATGTTTTTGTTTACAGACAGTCTTTTCCTCTAACACCACCATGAGGTAGACACTTATGGTTTAGAGTGAAAGGTTTTAACAACTCTCAGATGGCTTGCCATAATTCGAACTGTTCCTTGAGCAACATCATCTTGTCGAATTTCAAGTCCTTTGGTTTATGACTGGTCCAAATTAGCTAATCATTAGCAAACTCAGATGTGGTAGAATTTATGTCAATGCACCACTGTGCCAAAATCCTCTGAAGAAAAGTCAAGCAGACGCGTACTTGGAAGAACTCGTAGTGGTTCTGTTTTAATTACACTTTCTGGAGTCCGTTCAGAGGACCCATCTCACATGTGCGCCCAGTTGTGGTTTAGGACTTATCTGTTTGTTCACAGTACACAGGAGTCCTTTTATTAGCATATGTGTGCACCTTCTGATAAATAAATGACACCTTTTATATAATCTCTAATAAAGATTAGACTCACACAGAAACTATCATTACATCGTTGGTAATTCTTTCCAAAAGTGTTCTTGTACTTGTTTTTGATCCAGGAAACTGAGTTTCTACAGTGGATTACACCCTGACTTTATCATAAATTGGAGACTGGACATTTAGGAAATCCTCAGTATATGTCATGTGAATTCTATTGGTTTCAAACATCAAACATAGACATTGTACAATAGCAAGAGATTGCACATTATGACATTTAACAAAGTAATACATGATGCCTGTGTCCGCTCCGACACTGAGCTCAGAGCCCAAACATTTGCTTCCATGACACCACAAAGCAATCTGCTGCCACATCTGACACTCACATGAGGCCGGAGCTTTGTTGTTGACCTCAGGGGACACTCTGATTTTTGAGAAGTGATACAGCAGAGTGATTGTGTGATTATAATTACAGGGAATTTTGGCAAAGGATAGACAATGGTAACTTCCTGGGGCTTCTAAACCTTTTCGCTCACTTTCTCTTTTTTTCGGCCCTTCTGTCTGTCTTTGTTTTGTTTGTGTTTAATTGTTTAGTTAATTTTTTTCTCATATAAAAAGCACCTCTTTTCACCCTCTGTCTGAAACCAGAGCCCAGTATGTTCTGATTGGTTGGCTGGCTGGCTCTGTTGTGATTAGTCAACCACTTAGAGATGTCACGCCCCTTAGCCTATCGGGAAATATGTGTCTGTGCTAGCCATAGAAGCGAAAGTATTAAAATGTGATGTCACTATTTTATGGTAGTAAACAAGGGAGTCCAATCAGAATCAGAATCAGAAACAGAAACAGGTTTATTGCCAGGTAGGTTCGCACATACTAGGAATTTGACTTGATGTCATGGTGCATACATAAAATATAAAAAAACAAGAAATCTAATATAAAACACAAAATCTTTTACACCGTAATAAAATAAAATACAGTTAAATAGCAATACAAATTAAGTAAAGCAGTAATTTACATGGAAATTGAATGCTATGAATGAATTTTAGAATATAAACTCAAGGCGTGTGTGGAAGAGACACTCCCTCTGGAGGAAACTTTGGGATTTTAGCCTTTGCAGACCATTTATACTGTATGCACAAAAAGCTACATTTCACATTACAGGAAAGAGAAAAAAAAACAAAAGCACAATAGTGCCTCTTTATAACAACGTCATCAAGGGGTGTATGGATTTGTTTTTTTACAGTGAACTATGTTACTTCTTCAGTACCAAAATAATGTATCATTTACTAACAAATCAATTTGCAAATATTTTTCCAAAATGGCCATGATGATGCTGCTCCCAGCGTTTTACACTTTTGTCCCTTATTAAGCAAAGTTACTGCTACACAAACACCTTGTAATTCTTTGTTAACAAATAAAGTGTTTCCTATTACAGGGCTGATAGAGAGAGAACAATAAATAAAATACCAAGCAAGCCTGCAAACACTCAGATGTCCTAATTCACAATTATCTCTTTTGCCTTTCATTGTTTTTCATTCTGACTCCAACCAGTTCCATTAATCACTAAAAACTCAAATCTGTCTTTCACAGAACAGATTTAATTTCCAAGAACAGAGATAGGAGAACACAGCAGACACAGCAGCGTGGTTTAATTGAGGGTGAAAATATGTGATTTTTACGAAGGGCCCAGATCTATGCTGAAAGTATAGCTTTGATGAGGAGCCTGGCGGACACTGAGGACCAGAACCTACTGGCAGGAATGGCTTGGGGTTAGTTGGGGTGCTGGAGCTGGGAGTTTGGTGAAAGAGGCGACTGGTGTTTCTTTTATGACGTTAAGGTTTAAATAGGGGCTAGGGGGACAGCAAGTCTCTGGAGGCAGTTAACAAGCTAAAGAGTGTGAAGTGACTGTCACCCTCTCTGAACACACACTCCTCAAACACACGTCCAGCACCAGACAAGCCTCAGGGTGGTACTCATAATTGAAACAGGGGCTCTTTTAAAAATGACCTAATTGCCACCACAAACGGCAGAGCCCCACTTCAAAACTGGATGTCCACTCTCTTTTTCTTTAGATTTTTCAATTTCTATCTTTTTATTTGATCATATAATCTCCTACAAAATACCGAAAGTACTTAATAGCATTTGTCTGACTTCATACATATAAAATAAATTAATGGAATAGTTCAATGATTTAGGGAAATGTATGGCATTTATTCGCTTTTTTGCAGAGACTTGAGGCAAATTATTGGTTGATACATGTGCATGTCCATGAAGTACAATTTGTAATCTGTTATGTCCATGAAGATCCGCTCACAATTTGCTTACTGTGTGAACAGGATCTAGAAACACTAGATCTGCAGTTCACTTGTTTCACACTATACTGTTATGTATTGGAAAAACCCTATTATCTTGGAGTGGTTGCAAAACGCATTTCATCTTTTTCAAATAGCTGTTCTTCTAGCTATTTTAAAGTTACCATCTTGTTTTGTAGTCTATATA